CTTGCCAGGCACAGTGGCGCACACCTGTAATCCCAGCGGCTCCGGAGGCTGAGGCAATTTAGCAAGGTGCCAAGCAACTCAGTGTGACCCCATCTCTAAATAAAATACAAAATAGGGCTGAGGGTGTACCTCAGTGGTTGAGTGCTCCTGAGTTTAATCCCCAGTACCAAAAAAAAAAATACTTATGTCTATATGACAAACTAATTACAAAATAAGATTTGTTGTAAGTACTTATTTGAGATAGGTACCACCAGATTTTTTTAAAACTTTCACCAACGATGGGGGGAATACTTTTTACAATTCACAAAGATTCAGACAAAAAAAGTCACATTATTTAGATAGTTCAGGCTAGCTAGGAGGAAAAACAGTGTTTTCCTGAGCCATCCAATCAAACTGCCTACAATGATCAGTCATTGGAATAATCCTGCTCTTAACTTGGATTGCACACACCCCACTGAATTTATCTGCCGATAACCTCTGACATCTTTCCCAGGATAACACAGGAGGCAAAGCCAGAATTTAAGCAGAAGGGACCAGAGACAAGCTCAACGTGATAAAGGTTAAAATAAATTCCATTAATATCGACTCCTTTTAGAATTCATTTCAAATATTGCTCCCTCCCCCTGCCTATTATGTTTCCTTCATGAATTTTTTTTCAGTAGACCGTTCTAGTTGTGGACCACACGGCAGAGTTTAATTTTAAGGCCTGTCTTTGGAGTTTTGATGAGGGAATAAGAAAGACTTCTAAAATGCCCCAAAACATTATAATATCTTTCAYGATAAACATACACATCGATATCATAGCTTTTAAGCCAGTCAATTATGGAGACTGTTGTAAAGGCCCTGGAGACATTTCCTCTAAGTCTACAGATATTTTGGTAACAAGTGAAACATATAGATTTACCTGTGTGTCTACAGATAAATAACATCTACTGTAGATGTTATTGTTAGAAAATGAGCACTGGCTGCTCCAAGAAGCATACATGAGCCGGTGTACACACCAAGGACCTGCCCATCCGTAGGTGTCGGGTTGTCTGCCAGCAAAGMGGCAGTATGTCCAAGAACCAGGAAGCAATAGTGAGTGGTGCAGGGCCAAAAAGAGGCATCCATGTTTGGAAATAGGACCTCTGGCATCAAAATATCACATTGCCTTCAACTGACCTTAGGTAGAAGTGAGCAGAMGGTAAGTCTGGTAGATTCTTAGGAGTCATTGACACCTGAGAACTTTGTTTTGGAAATGCAGCTAAATAATCCCCATTTGAAATAGGRTTTTGTTCCTTCTACACATCTTATGTTATTAGTGGCTCTAAGAAGTTAGGGAGAAGATATTTGGAATCCCCTCCAGCATGATCTTCCCACTTCGAACTCAGTGGAAAGTTTTGACACTGTAACTGGTAACTGTGTTTCACATGTACATATGCAAATRCAGGATGAGTATCTGTAATGTGATAATTGAAATTTGGGGACCACCAGACATTTTGGTTAAGAGCTAATCAACCAGTTTGTGTACATGTGCAATATGAATGTGGTTTTGAAACTGAACATCAGCCTTGTCAGACACACACATAGGATGACTTGAATTGTAGCTATGAGACACCATATCACAATTTTAGGTACCATGAAATAAGCCTGTGAGCTCACACCATTGAATCCTACTTATTTCAAGTCAGATTCACTGCTGTTGGGGGTAATGGGAATGTTAAGTCATCCCTTTGGTATTCTGAAATGTCTTTGTTTGCAGGGTATAGAAGTCAGGAGGCATAGGAAAAAGAATGTTGGTTTGAGGGCCAAAGGACTGGGATTAAATCCCATCCCATCAGCTAATAGCTATGACATTAGGCAARTTATTTAATGTCTCTGAAACTATTAATAAAATTGGAATAACAATACCTATCTCACTAATAAATTGTGAGCAGTAAACAAAATACTTTTTAAAACAAGTTTGTCCCCTGAGTGTTTGGCAAAGAGTAGGCATTAGAAAGAATTTAACTATCTTTACAAGATTAAAAGGGCCCAGAATAATGCATTTCCCYCAAATAACATGCACATGTGTATGGGCTCCTGTTAATAGTAGAAGGACTTCCATGGAAATCCACCACAGTTGTCTCTTCTAGAAACACAGCTGTAGACCTAATAGCCTGTCATTCAAAGAGTTTATCTGGGAGGATGTAACTGAGTGATAGAGCTTGTGCTTAGCATGCACAAGGTCCGGGGTTCTATCCTAGAGCCACACACACACTTAAAAAAAAAAAAAAACACAAATAGTGTATGTATCTATAACTACCTTTGATTGAGTTATCAAGGAAGATTAAGAAGATTAAGTTCTACTTTTCTAAAGCCACAGTCCACATACATTATATGGAAATTGACTACTTTTAAGAGAATTTTTAAAATTTCAATTATTTGTTTCTGTTTGTATGCATGTATACAAAATTCAATAGAAAGTTTGTATTCATTTTGATTTACCCACACACCTACCATTTACTTTGTTCTTCATTCTTTCCCAAATCTACAAACTTTTATCCAGATTCAGGGTTTTTTCCTACCTAAAGAATACTCTTTAGTATTTTCTGTAGTATAGACTCATYGGCAGTGAATTATTTTAGTTTKCCMAAAAAAAGTGTATTTATATTGCTTCGATTTTTGAAGGATTTGTTCTCTCCTTGTAGAATTTCTAATTGGCAACTTTTCTTTAGTACTTTAAAGGTATTTTGTAGTCTTCTGGATAACATTATTTTTGTTGAGACATAAACTGAGTTTAATTGTTGCTTATTTGGARGTAACCTTTATTTTGTTCTGGAGACTTTGGAGATGATGTGTCTTTAGTTTAAGGACAGCCTACCTAGGTGAGGATTTCTTTTTATTTTTCTTTCTTTGAGGTCAATCCTTCTTGAATCCATGACCTATTGTTTCTTCATTTGCTTCTGGAAATTCTTAATCATCATCTTGGGTATTATATCTGTCCCATTCTTTCTCTCCCCTACTCCTAGGATTCAAGTTATTATTAGACCTTCTTGAATCTCTCTTTTCTGTATTAACCATCTTTTTGTATCTGCATTTTATTCTAGGTGGTTTTTTAAATTTATTTTTTAGTTGGACACAAGGCCTTTATTTTATTTATTTATTTATTTATTTATTTATTTATTTATTTATTTATGTGGTGCTGAGGATCAAACCCAAGGCCTTGCATGTGCTAGGTGAGCACTCTACCCCTCTGAGCCACAACCCCAGCTGTTTTATTCTCTATGGTTTCTTCTAAAGCTCTTACTAGAATCCAGTTCACTAATCTTCTCTTCAGCTGTGTCTATTTCATTTTAAAATGCATTGCATTCTTAACGGGAGGGGGTGTTGTTTGAATTTGAGAATTTCCATGGATCTTATAAAAATAGATTCTAATTCTCCACCGTCATCCTCAAGCTCACSTTTAATCTTAAATATTGTAAGCATAGTCATTTTTAAAGTCTATATCTGATGACTCTATTTCAGAAGCTCCTGTGAGTCTGATKTTTTTATTGTCTGCTCTCCTTATTGGTTTTCATATTATCTGATCTTGCTTCCCCCCCATCCCCAACTTTTTACAAAATTTGTCAAATCACTTGCAGAAATAATCTAAGACCTTAATCTAATTTTAGGGACTGAAATGATTCAGATCTGAGCTTTAGGACTTGAAAGGCCTGTCTGCTTCTTGGTCATCGTTCCTTCTAAGGTGTGATGCTCTGTGGCCACCACCYAGTAGTGGGTTTACCAAGAGCCCTCCCCCTTGAGGTACCCTGAAGTCCTTTCCCTGCCACGCTCGCTTTTGAGATTATCAGAGGCCCACTTGGTTTCACAACTGCTCTGCCTTGCACTGTATAAAACAGGCCCCCAAACAGGGTTCTGRGTTGTCAGCATTTCTTGATCTGACTCAGTAAGTAATTCTTTACTCTCATTTTCTGTCCAGTGCCATATTTAAAAAAAAAAAAAATGTTTTTTTTTTTTTTGGTGGTGGTTTTTTTTGTGTGTGTGTGTGCAATTTTTTTTTTCAAATTTGTCTTTAACAGGAAGGTTGATTCAAACCATCTAGTCTTCTCCATCTATAAGGACCATTGAAAATTTGCTTTTTAAACTACTTAATTTTATCTTCTTTTGAAAATAAAGTTGAAGACATAAAATGCCCAGGAGAATTAAATTGTTAAAAATCTGAAGTGCATCTCATTCTAACGCAGTGACAACAGTGAGACTGTGGCCGGTTCACTGTCCCCTTCTGTCCTTTGTACACAGAGCCCTACTCMGGGGTCTCTCTTCTTCACTGCCATGTCTCTACCCTCACTGTTTTGTAAGCCTCAGCCCAGCATCTTCTCATCCAGTGAAACTTCCTTCGGCGCCACTTCTCCTAGACGGGTGTGTGTCTTCCTCCTTTCAGTGACTCCACACAGCTCTGTCACCCCACCACGTTGATTGGCAGTTATTGATCATGTGTTTCCTGGGCCCACTTGGTTGCRATCTCCTTTGGGACTGGAACTCTCTTCCTGTGGTCTCCTCTGCATGGTGGCTGACACAATGGCACAGAGAAGGGGCAGCTGTGGATGGGATACTGGGATTCTGATATTTGCTTTTCAAACCAACACAGACTGGTCTGGTCTAGGTGCCTAGGGCATGAACTGAAGGATGGACTGTGCCCTTGGGTGTCCTTCCAAACCCTAACCAACCTTGGGATCCTGGGAAACCCTTCCCTAGTCATTCAAGCCCTTGCTGACAATTTCTAGAGCACATACTCATTTACCCAGTAAATATTTGTTTTGTTCCAGCCACATGCAAAGTCCCCTTCAAGGGGCTGGGGTACAGTGATAAACATGGTGCCTTCTTCACGGAGCTTGCAGTCGCTCGGATCTGTATTAAACTAAGTCTTTTTTTTTTTTTTTCTCCATTCAGCCTGTGTGTGCACCTGTGTTAACCAAAACGGCAAATCGTTCTCATGATCCCTTCCTCTCCCCTCTCTCTATCTCTCCCTGTCTCTGCAGGTCAGCGTTGAGGTTTTGGTAGAGTACCCTTTTTTTGTGTTTGGACAGGGCTGGTCATCCTGCTGCCCAGAGAGAACCAGCCAGCTCTTTGATTTGCCGTGTTCCAAACTCTCTGTTGGGGATGTCTGCATCTCGCTGACCCTCAAGAACCTGAAGAACGGCTCTGTTAAAAAGGGCCAGCCCGTGGATCCTGCCAGCGTCCTGCTGAAGCACTCAAAGACGGACAGCCTGGCGGGCAGCAGACACAGGTATGCCGAGCAGGAGAATGGAATCCATCAGGGAAGTGCCCAGCTGCTCTCTGAGAATGGTGAACTGAAGTTTCCAGAAAAAATAGGATTGCCTGCAGCGCCCTTCCTCACCAAAATAGAACCCAGCAAGCCCACGGCCACGAGGAAGAGGAGGTGGTCAGCTCCGGAGACCCGCAAACTGGAGAAGCCCGAAGAGGAGCCACCTTTGACTCTTCCCAAGCCCTCTCTCATCCCTCAGGAGGTCAAGATCTGCATCGAGGGCCGGTCTAACCTGGGCAAGTAGAGGCCGACTGGGGAAGGAAATGTCTCTCCCTAACCCTCCGTATCCAGATTACTGTACTGTAGGCTAAGAACACAGTATTTACATGTTATCCTCTTACTTTAGGTTTCTGTTCTAACCTTGTCATTAGAGTTACAGCAGGTGTGTCACGGGAGACTGGTGCATTTGCTTTGTCTGAGAGTGTCTGTCGGGGAGCAGGCGGGTGGAGGGGGGGGTCAGAGCAGTGACAATCCAGGCTCCAGGCATCCTGGGTGGAAACGAATGTGGCTTCACCAGCGTCCACCTTCTCCAGCGGCACCGARGCATCCAATGGGCATGGATTCCCTCTCGTTTCAAGAGAGAGTTCCACGGGAAGGGACCTGCCAGGGTGCAGGGTGCGTGCCTATGGGGGTGCACGGGTGCGGCGGTGGAGAGTGGGCSTCTCTTTTTCTCTGCCTCTCGCTGTCAGCATGGGAATGGGGGTCCCCAGCAGTGTCCTCCTGGGGTTCCCTGTGTGCAAAATCCTCATCAGGAACCCAGCTTCAGGGTATCTTAGGGAGACATCAGATGGCAGATAGAAAGCTGACAGTTTCAAAGAACATTTTTCTCTCCAACCTATTTTACAATAAAAGCAACTTTTAATCCTATAGATATATATTTCCCCCTATGGGGCCTGACTGCACTGATATATATAAAAAATATATATATTTTGTTTTTAAAAGAGCAACTGCCACACGTGGGATTTCCTTTCTGCTTTACAAGTGCAGTGATGTCACCAGGGTGTCACCGTGGGCAGGGAAGCCCCTGCTCAGGTCGCTCCATCGGGGTGGGTGGGAGCTGGTTTCTGAGCAGTGTTAGGACAACCAATCAGGTTATTGCATTGACTCAGCTCCCAAGAGGTGGCTGCAAACTGCCATCCAGCGAGAGCAATGAGGCTCTCCCAGTTGAGTTTGCAAAATCTTTTGTCTTTTAACTCTAGTACTGTTTATAGTTCATCACTATGGACAACCYGGGTGCCACTTTTTTCAGATTCCAGTGGGATACGAGGAATGAGATTTGGAAGATGAGCAAATATTACTATCTCTAAGCACTTAAAATGCTGTTCACACTTTACTACCAAGCATCTTGGTCTGTCATTTAATGAGTACTGTATCTCACTTAAAACTCTTTGGGAAGAGGGGAAAAAAAAAAAGGAAAAAACTTAGTTGCTTTCTTTCTTTTCTTTTTTTTTTCCCCCCAACACTGTAACTGCATTTCAACTCTGCAGAGTTGCTCACGAGCAAGATACTGRAAGTTTCAATGTGGTTTAAAGGGATGAATGTGAATTATGAACTAGTATGTGACCATAAATGACCACCAAGTACTACCTGACAGGAGACACTTGCCACTTTGATGTTGGAGAAGGAATTCAAGGCATATGCAGAGTTGGCAGAGAAACTGAGAGAGAAGGGATGGAGAAAAGAATACTCATTCTTGTCCAGTGTTTTTAAGATGAACTTTTAAAGAACCTTGCAATTTGCACATCTTGAGTTTATAATTTGTGTGATATTCCTGCAGTTTTTATCCAATAACATTGTGGGAAAGGTTTGGGGGACGGAACGAGCATAAATAAATGTAGCAAAATTACTTTCTAACCTGCCTAAATGCTAGGCCATTTTATAAGGTTATGTTCCTTTCAAAAATTCATTTTGGTCTTTCTACCACATCTGTCATGAAAAGCCAGGTCTTAGCAGGACAACTCTGAGAATTTTCTTCAGATTCATTGAGAGAGTTTTCCATAAARACATTTATATATGTGAGCAAGTTTTTTTTTTWWWAAATTACTTTATTATTGTTATTAATGTTATTTTCAGAATGACTTTTTTTTTCTATTTGAAATCAAATCAAGATTTAATGTTTGGTACAAACCCAGAAAGGGTATTTCATAAAGTTTAAACCTTTCATTCCCAGAGATCTGAATCATCATTTGTGGGTTTCAAGTGCATCCTAACGTGCTTTACAAAACAACAACAACAACAACAACAAATGTTTTATAAGTAGGGAGAAGTTTTTAAATATTCTTACTTGGATGGCTGCAGCTAAACAAATATACTTATTAGATTTTTCTTTTTCCAGTGAAAGTAGTACTTCTTCCATTTCACAAATTTAAAAAAAAAAAAAAAATCCTAACTTCAACCCACAGGTTAGCTGTCTAGTATTCATTTACATTTAGCTCTCAGCAGGACTAATGATTTTTATAAACCAGTTTCTGGGGTGTACCAAAAACATTTAAATAGGTTTAGAAATAGCTAAACTCCTTCCTTGACTTGTCTTGAAACTTCATTACCCTCTCGGCATGCTGCAGTCCTCCTGCTTAGTTAGTGCTGTTTTTCTTAAACGTTTCTGTTCAGAGAACTTGCTTAATCTTCCATATATTCTGCTCAGGGCACTTGCAATTATTAGGTTTGGGTTTTCTTTTCTTTCTTTTTTTTTTTAACCTTGAATAGTGAGAGGAACATGGGGCTACCCCACGGACTTTGTTCTCATTCATACCACTATTTACAACAGCTCACCTGGGCTCAGAAAAACACACCCCACCTTCCGGGCCCGCTTGGCGAATGGAACTGACCACATCCACTCAACCAACACTAAAACGGGAAAAAAAAAACACATTTGGTCCGAAGCAATAGGAGCACCATCGCGATTCCGTGGTCCTCCCCTGGGTTCCCATCGCATCCTCTTGCTCTCTCAGCATGTGCAATACTTTCTGTGCCAACAGAGTCTGACCTGTGTGCTTTCTAGTTAAAGCGCATTTCCTTTTGGCTTTTTTTTTCCCCTGTGTGGTTGGTGGATCTTCCCCATTCTGGCCAGAGAAGGGCTGGAGGGAAGGAACCAGAACGGGGAGCCCTCCCGCCTTTCCCCTGCTGTGGATGCTGAGTGCTTGGGCTGGCGGGGGAGCCTGCAGGAGGCAGGTGTCTGTCACCATGTCACACAGAGAGCCAGCCCAGGAGATCTGGGGGAAGAGCTTCCGTCCCCCCATCACCCCGTGAAATAGTGAATGGAATGGAGGAAGGAGGCAGATCACGTCCAAGACGCACCCTGGAGCCACGCAGGCTGGAGTCACCCATTTTCCATGGCCATTTCTCCTGGGGGGTCTGTGTCCTTGAGACCTGGAGCCCTGGCTCTGAGCATGGGCAGCAAGCGTGGTGGCCCTTGGTGCACCGTGCATGCCATCCGAGCGTGCCGGCCAGTGGCTGTGGAGGGGACCACCTGCCAACCTGGTCACTGCTCTCTTGTGGCAGCTCTCCTCTCCAAGTAGGAAGAACACGCAGAAGACGGGAGCCTCCTCTGGTTTGCAGACAGGCGAGTCCGGAGCAGCCTGTCGCCACTTCTGTGTAGCAAACCTAACAATGACAGGGGTAGAAACTCTTCGGTGCCGGTCAGTGTACGAGGATCAGCCACGTGCCTCTGTACTGTCCTCTTGGCAATATTTACCAACAKCCGTCTTTCTTTCCTCTTTCTTTCCCGTTTTCCATTTTTTTAAAACTTAGATAACAGCAGGCCTTTTACGTTTACAACTGAACACAATCACCAAGAAATTAGTCAGGGCGAAAAGAAAAAAAATAATAATAATAATACTATTAATAAGAAACCAACAAACAAGAACCTCTCTTTATAGGGAATTTCTCAATATATAAAAATGACTGTTCCTTTAGAATGTTGAACTTGGGAATCATTTCAGTTTGTCTGGGCCACATGGCGGGCAGAGGGGGAGGGAGGGGTACAGAGACGGCCACCACTTACCTCAAACCTTTAAAAAAAACAGTAGAAATACAAACTGCATTTCATTGGGACTTTGGGGATGGTTTTTGACGTCGGTTTTTGTTCTCCCCGGTTCACCTGGTCTGGTCTGGGATGATATGATTTATTTCCCCCCCCTGTGGCAGTGATGGTGGCTGATCCCATTCAGTGAACTGTGACCCTGTGTGTTTTCTGTTCGGTGAGTGTGTCGGGTCCCCCCCTCCCTCTCCCCTAAAGGAACTCTGCGGAACTTTCACACCTCTTACTCAGGGACGGGGCTGGTGTGTGTGGAACACTGAGGTCCAGCAGCGGCACTTTGCTGCTCTGGAGTAGGGCTGTGCAACTTCCAGGAACGTTTGGGTTTCCTGCATCGTGTGATCACTCCTTAGATCCTGCATAGACTGCAATAGAATGCTGCATGTTCAAGACGAACAGTAGCTCCTGGTATTCATAAAAATCCACTCTTTGCACATAGTTTGAAACCTTACTGAAATAAGTTGCCAAAATTTATTTTTTGTTGTCGTAGCTTTGGATTCACTTTTGGTTTTTTTTTTTTTTTTTAAGGAAACAATTGACAATACCCTTTTAACATCTGTGACTACTAAGGAAACCTATTTCTTTCATAGAGAAAAAAAAAATCTGAGATGCTTTTGAAGACACTAATGCTATGCTATTTCAGACATGGGTGAGGAAGCAGAGYTCTGGGGACAGAAAACCGGGCTTCTTGAGCCGCGCTGGTTGTCATGGATACTGTTTCCTGAATCACGAGCCGCTCAACGAACTGGCCCGGTCTCTCCTGAAACCCTTGGCACTTCCGATTTCCTAGTCACCCTCGATAAATCCAGGTGAAAACAGGGCCGGAGGTCTCCCTGGCCCAATCCGGTTTCTGCAGTGAATGAAAGAGAATTACACTTTTTGGTTGTTTTTAAAGTGGAGTGGAGGCCGTTGCTTCTACATTTTGTGTTTTTAACCCAGAATTTCTGAAATAGAGAATTTAAGAACACATCAAGTAATAAAAATACAGAGAACATACTTTTTATAAAGCACATGCGTATGGTGTATTGTGATGGGTTGGTTTCCTCTCTTTTCCACGGACAGTGTTGTGTTTCTGTTCATAAGGAAACTCCAAACAACTTGCACACCTCTACTCCGGAGCTGAGATTTCTTTTACATAAATGACCTCGCTTCAAATATGTTACCTTACTGATAGGATCTTTTCTTGTAGCACTATACCTTGTGGGAATTTTTTTTTCCTTTAATGTACACCTAATTTGAGAAGCTGAAGAAAAATAAAAAATTTAAGCACTCACTTKGAGGAGTACAGGTAATGTTTTTAAATAAAATTGCACAAAAGAAAAATGAATGTCGAGATGATTCATTCAGTGTTTGAAAGATGTGATCTGTTGAAACAGTGAGTTTCATACTTGTTTGTAAAAACGGAGAAGAAAAATCGGAGAAAGGTTTGAAAGTTACATGTTTGGACTTTTTTTTTTTTGTATATAGAAATTTGTCATGTCTAAATGATCAGATTTGTATGGTTGTGGCCTGAAAGAATTACTACGTCATAGGCTCTTAAACGACACCTATGCTTCCTGTGATGTGTTTGTTACATAGCCCTCGGCCGAGGGGGAGAGACGCTGCGTACCGCTGTTTGAGAATACTGTTCATTCCTGGCTGAAAGTACTTCTCAGAGCTCCCTTTTTAGTCTAAACTCTTCTAAGCCACTTGCAACTACTTTTTCTTCAGAGATGATGTTTTTGACATGTTCAGCACTTCCTGTTCCTATAAACCCAAAGAATATATTCCTGAACATGAAGTGTTTCTAAAAGGGATCCTAGCTACCAATAAAACAGGACTCATTCTGAGGACAAAATTTATATATATATATAAAATTTTTAAAAAAAGGTTAGCCTTCTTGCCCCGTACACACACACACACACACACACACACACACACACACACACACACACATTTAAATGGAGGGTAAAATATGAATTTTAATGTATATGCCTCATTTTACTTTTAGTTTCATTTTGATTTTTCTTTAATAGAGGCCAAAAACAAATGTAGAGGGATTTCTCAGAAGTCATATTTCTGTCCCCAAATCAAGCTAGACAGCTGTGGGGATATTAAATGTACCCAGCTGTAGTTCTTAAATTCAGAATCCCAGCCCGTCCCTGATAATTCAGTGCAACTGTCTGCACAGCTGACATTCACATGTACAGGGTGGGAGGGACCCACAGCTTCCCTTTCTCATGTCCCCACGGCTTGCATTACAAACGGTTCAGCTGTATTAAAAATCAAGTGCATTTGGCCAATAGGTGGTATCTCTACGATAACAGTCTCTAAGGACTCCCATAACTTTTCTGATCTGAAAGGACTCCAGTCTTCCACTGCAGATAAATTGGAGACTTCACCAACCCACGTTTTCTTTCCCTTTAGTTTGTCTGTCTGTGTGCTGTTTGGATGGTCGGTGACCTGTCTCCTTAACCGTGGCCAATCTGAAGGCCTGCGTGGGAAGAGTTGTTTACAGTAATTCTTAGCAAGATGACAAACATAGTGTCCTCCAGAACACCAGGTCCAGGTGACACTGGCTTAGAGCTGTTGTCTTTAAAGATCACTGAGAGGGTGGGTGCATAGGTTTTTCTCTGGTTCTCACACAAACCCCCTACTCTCTAAGTTATTCTCTGGCTCAGGAGTGGGGTGAATTATTGAGTCAGTGAATCCTAAACTTGATACCTGTGCATCCAGGTGTGTGAATATTGCTCTTGTGGCCAGGATTCTTCCTCCCACTCTGCACTGCTCAACTGTAAACCCAATTAGTGTCAACAGAAAGGTTTCCATGGAGTCCTGTGTTTGCGGTGGCCTTTGGATAAGACAGAGTCCTCATTTCTAGCCAGTGGGGTGCTGACCCCGGAGCCATCTCTGAGATTAGTACCATTGGATGTTTAAACATTGGATAAGTACCCACCAAACTTCCAATTGGATGCCTCCCACCGGCCAAGGGAAAATAGACACCAAAACTTGGGTCGAGGGCATGACCAGAAAGAGCCAGCCAGTATGGAGAAGAACTAGGGAAGGAATGATGTTTTGCACCTTACTGAAAAGAAAATTTTAAGTGCATACATAGTTAAGAGCTTTTATTGTGACAGGAGAACTTTTTCCATATGCGTGCATACTCTCTGTAATTCCAGTGTAAAATATTGTACTTGCACTAGCTTTTTTAAAACAAATATTAAAAAAAAATGGAAGAATTCATATTCTATTTTCTAATCGTGGTGTGTCTATTTGTAGGATACACTCGAGTCTGTTTATTGAATTTTATGGTCCCTTTCTTTGATGGTGCTTGCAGGTTTTCTAGGTAGAAATTATTTCATTATTATAATAAAACAATGTTTGATTCAAAATTTGAACAAAATTGTTTTAAATAAAATTGTCTGTATACCAGTACAAGTTTATTGTTTCAGTATACTCGTACTAATAAAATAACAGTGCCAATTGCAACTGAGTCTTTGTCTTCTGTGGGTAGTTCTTCCTTCTGCCACTAAGTGTCCCATGACTTCCCCCCGGGGGAGTTGGGGTGGTGTTGCTGAGTAGCCTGAGACTTGGTTTCCCTACTCATTTGGGGGAAGGAGGCCCTTGAGATGAGGTTCTGAGATACGAGGTTGGCGTCTACTCATGATGTCCTGGTTGGTTCAGATCCTGCTTGTGTCTGAATCCTGTGGTTCACGGGTTTTGTTGGTAAACGTCTGGCAGCTTCCTGGGCTCGCATGGCATAATCAATGTGTTCTCTGCGGTTTTGCCGTAGCCCCGTTAGTGGTCTAAAGGTAGAAAGATCATCTGTGTTTCCTGCAGCTCCACAATGATTGTTGAGGAGCCCAGTGGGAAGGGGTCTCTGGGTACGAGGAGCTGCCCCGTGTCTGTCTCAAGTTTGCACGGGGTTGTCTGGGGAGGATGTGGCCTAAAGTCGTTTCTCAAGGACCTGAGACTTTCTGGGGGGGGGGGCGGGTTGGAGAGGGGTCCCCACCCTACCTGTGGACACAGCTGTGACAGGTGTCCAGGCTTGTGGTTCCATGTTGCAGAAGAGAACTTGAGAGAAACCCAGGAGTCCTGGTGTGGTCCGGGAGGAATGGGACCCTCCTCCCTCTGTCACCTCTGCTGGGTTTGCTGGGGGCATCAGCTACCCTCTTGGGACTTGAGTCGAGGGCCTGACACTGTCATAGTGGGAAAGAACTGGCATGGAGCCAGCGGTGATGGGGGAGCCGGAGGCCAGGCCGGGCGGCCCTTCAGTGGGGCCGCTGTCCGGGCAGCTGTGCCGTGTGTCGTGGGTGGGCCTGCTGGAGCTGGCTGACCGCTACCTTGCCTGCTTCACTTTTCTTTGCTGCTCAGGGTCCTCACAGGTCTGGAGTCCGATGGCTGTGATATCCCCAGGGGTTCAAAGCACAACTTCCAGGGCTGCCGTGGGGCAGTCCCTGAAACCATCTGAATTGTGGTCCAGCCCAAGGTGAGTGCCAGGCTCACAGGCTGTGCCCTAGGTGGCCGCAGGGCTGCACACTATGCCTCCATCCACATCCCTAACTGATGCCTGGTCTCTGGGGCTCTCGGGTGGCGGGGCTCCTCCAGGGACAGAGATGAACTTGGCTAAGGGGGATGGGATGCCAGTTGTTTTTATGGTGCCTCTTTCAATCTGACCCTTTGCAATGACTGTCTTTACTTCCCAGAAGCTGGACTGCAAACCCCTGCCTTTGGTTGTGAGGATGGTCTTTCCACAAGATGGTAAAGCAGCGTGGATCGGGGCCATCCCGCTCCAGGGAACCAGTGTACTCTGAGAGCCAAACTTGAGAAAGGAGACACTGGGTCACAAGAGCAGGAGTTTGGTGAGGGTCACAGTCCTAGAGGAAGTCCCTGTACTGTGGCAGGAACTTTTAGTGGATTTGTGATTTTCTTTTCTTCACTTCTCTCCCTTATCTTGCAAGAGTCTCATTAAAACAAAGTTCAGGACTTGAGTGTGAAACACTTCTCCCACAGAGACGGCCGGAGGCTGACACTTCACCCAGACAGGCAGGAAAGAGGGGTGGGGGCCATCAAGCCCCACCTTTTTCTCAACAGGAAACATCCTCTTGACCCTCAAACATTCTCCCAAACTGAGCCCCTCGTGTTTCTGCAGGTAAAAGCAGCTCCGTGGACTTCAGGGTGGGGAGAGGGGTCAGTTACTCTGGTATGGGAAACGTGCCTTTAAAAACAAACGGGGCCTGTATTCTCCCAGTGTGACAGTGTGGCTGGCCTTGGACGCTTGATGGGCTCATCCTTATTCAGCAGCAGAGTGCCCCCTCTCTACTCCAGGGACCTCCAGGGAGGTGGTTGCCTTTTCAAAGAAACTCTGCTCCTGCCTCATTAACACAGGAAGTGTCACATCCTGGAGTGTATAAACCTGCCGGTCCTCAGGAGGCCCTGGGCCCTTCTGTCCAGACAAGACCGCTGTCACCAGCCAGCCAAACCCTCTATGGCAGAACCACGTGGTCCTTCCTCCTTGGCTAGGGCTCAGTCTCACATTTTAGAGCAATGCTTTTGAGGACGCTACTGAGCCAGGCCAGTTGCTCTTCCAACAGGACTCCACCCGCTAATCTCTTTGAAGCTGGACCAGATGTTAAAGGTTATGTGCAGACTAATGTATAACCTCTTTGAGAAGGTCCAGCCTGACAAGTTGGGACTGAGAAGGGGAGGAAAAAGGATGGAGAAAAGGAAAAGGAAACCTGTTCAGGCCAGCTAACTAGCAGCAGCTCCAACAGGTAGCCAGGGAGTATGAAGGAGGTGTCAAGACACTGCCAAGCCCGTGAGCCCTGGCAGGGGACCAGACCTCATGTTCTCCAGCAGCCAAGAACAGGAGAGAGGGGTACTGGTTACTCTGACTCCAGCTCTGCTCTGCCCACCCCTCTCAAGGTACCTGGTATGGGCATAGCCAAGCGTGCCACTCATTAGGCTGGGTAGGCAGCCCCCAAATCTCCAAGGACCCCCGTATGGCTCCTGCAAAGGCAAACCCCAGCACTCAATCAAGTCTCAACAGCATTGTATTAAAATGATTTTTTTTTTCCAAAAAAGGTGCAAGTTGTTGGATTGAACAATAAGGCTGTGCGCCCTGGGCAGCTGGGATCTGACTGCTGACCCAGCGGTGCCCTGCTTCTGGGCCCCAAGGCACAAGGGAGAGCCCCAAAGCCTCCAGGCAGGAGGGGGAGGAAGGACGCAGCACACCACCATTCGGAGCAGCGAGAAGCCGGGAGAGGTGGGAGAAGCAGGTGGCACGGGGGCTTCCGCTCCAGCGGGATGTCACTCCATCTCTGCATTAACTGAACACTGTGTTGTGCTGTTGGGTCACCCGGATGAACGTCGCTCTCCTGCTGAGCTCTTTGAGTTTGGCGGCCCCCACGTAGGTGCAGGTCGACCTCAGTCCCCCAAGAATATCCAGAATAGTGTTTTCCACACCCCCTTTGTAAGGCACTTCCACCGTCTTGCCTTCAGAGGCTCTGGAAGAGAAAGGAGACATTTCCTTGTCCTGGAGAGCCCATGCAGAACTGTTCCCAGCTGCAGCACTTTCAGCAGCCCTCCCCTCCCCCTCCCCCATAATTGCCAAGCAGACCAGGACGGCACTGCCAGGGAGATGTAGCCCTCCCACCCCAAGGGCACCAGGAAGAAGTCTTGGTTGACATCACTTGACACTGCAGACTCCCACGGTTCCACTTGGCGATGTTAGTAGCCTGCACTCTGCCCCACAGAAACCAGCACCACCTCTCCATATGCACCAGCTTCCAAATGACCAAGTGCCCACATGCCCACGGGGGAAAGACCTGGTGGGTTACCTCTTGGAACAGCCTCCTGCACCAACCCAGGGCTCTGCTCTACCTAGCACCAACTCTACGGTTGGACCGCCAGGAAGAGGAGATGGAAACGGACGGACGAGGCAGGCCCTCCTAGGTCCCATGGGAAGCTCCACCCAGGCCAGAGCCCAGTCCGACAGCCCGTCTCCAGGGCACCCAGCACCAGCTCAGCTCCCTGTGCTCTTACAAGTCAGCACACCTCCTGCCAGGGCACGGCGGGTCCCAGCTAAGAACCAGCCTAGTGAGGTGGCTTCAGAGCTTCGGCCCCCATTGCTGACGTTTTCAAGTCTGGCAAGTGGCACCAACAGTGAGCACCACCTCACGGTCCCAGAACCCCTGTCCCTGCCTTCCTGAGGTCGCCACCTAACTCAGCTTGACTTCACAAGTCAGATTGGTGACACAGTCCACCCCACTTGCAGAGGCATCTTGAGAAGGAAGTCTCACTCCTTCTCTGGCCCTCCTCTGAGGCCAGGCAGATTCTAACCTGCATTCTAGAACTTTCCATGGTCGTTATTATGGAAGAAATACTCTCCCTGGAGAAACAGCATGTCTTGATCAGAAACTTGTTATGCAGAATTTCCAAAGGACATTTGCTTATTGGCCGAACGTGCCAGACTCTCCTGGGGTGACACCCAGCTATCGAAACCATGGGCTGGATGAAGGGCTGGCCTAGGGACTGGGTTAGGTCACCAAACTCGGGAAACCAGAGTCACCCATGCCACAGCTCCAGTCTGATAGCCCATGTGATCTAGCAGGGTGGTTCAGGTCTCAGCACTCTGTGACCACAGTCAGGTGCACACACGGCCCTGCAGTGATTTCCCCCCGTCTTCAGATACTTCCTGAACCTTTCAGAACTGGCTGGAAATTATTCAGATTCTCGTTGCTGCCTCTATACTAACTGTTAATGTCACCTTTTACAAGTCACTCACGGTTGATGCTGAGGTCTGCTCATCTGTCAAATGAAGGTGCCCTGCCTCCTGGGGACAGTGTGAGGATGGGATGGTTAATAACTGGGAAAGAACAGCAAAGCGTCCATTAACAGCAGTGCTGTAATCACACACGAAGTCAAAGTCAGAATCACCAGACTGCAAAGGGACAGAGGCAGGTTCAACTACAGAGCTCAGGCTACCTGTGGGGCAAGATTTAACTCCTTCAGCACCTTCTTTCTTGTCGGAGATTTCACTCTGCTTCCTGGTGTTTGTGATGTGTGCTCCCTGCTGAAATCCCAAGCGGAGGCTTTCCTCCTGGCTCCTGGGCCTGTGCATAGCCGACGCTAGCCTTCCCTGTCCACGGCGTGTGGCGTGTCTGAGGCCCCCAGACAGCTGCAACTGCTCAGCCACACGGCTGCACTTCATTTGGGCAAAGGGCAGACACCGCACAGGCCTAGGCTGGTGGCCACAGCGGCTGGCTGAGCAGTCAGCTTCTTGGCTGTAGGGCCAGGTTCACCCGGAGGAGTTCTGCAGTTCCACCTCTAGTTGGGCGGAACCTGACAGGACGCATCTGAATCTCCAGCCCACCCCATGAGCTGCAGGGAAGGAAGCTTTAGCTTCCTGGAGAAAGGCCGTCCGCCTGTTCCAGCTGATGCCTCCCCAGGCCTCCAGACCACTGGCCCGTCACTGGTCCTTGGCTCTGGCTGGGTCAGGTGGGAGGTGAGGCAGTCTATTGGGCAGCCGGGGTCTGAACGCACAGTTAAGGAGGAGGTGAGACGAAAGGCCACGGGGCCTAGGGGGTCCCGGGTTTAAAAATCTCAGCAGACAAGAGCAAGCTGGCTGCCTGGTGACAGAGCCAAAGAGCCTGCGCCCGCCCAAGAGCTGCTGAGCGAGGCAGCATTCTTCAGGTGCGGCCTGGCCCCCCACCCATCTCCGGGGCAGCCAGAGATCTGCTCAGCCCCATTCCTGCAGCCTTATGGCCGCAAGCAGCACGGTGAAGGCGCTATTGGAAAGCCAAGGCAGCCTCCCGTCCAGGCTGCTCCCTGCTCACCCTCACCCCCAACCATCCAGCCCAGCCTCAGGTGCTTCTGTTCTGCACTGCAGATGCCAGCTGGATACAAGTTGGGGCTCTATTTTAAAAAGCTGCCAGAGGTGCCTGCTAGGCCCTGCCCAGAGTCCCTCCACACAGCACTGCTGGCCAGGCCTGTGGCTGAGGCGAGGCAGGAGGCCTGACCAGGAGGCGCCAGGGCTGGACCCACCTGTACTCGGCGACGCCCCCCGCGTGCTTCTTCATGGCCGTCTCGGAGCTCATCCCGTAGAAGAGCTTGAGTTTCTGCCCGTTCCTCTCGATCACTTCCCCTGCACACTCGGTGTGGCCAGAGAACATCCCTCCCAGCATGACAAAGTCCGCTCCGGCTCCTACACGCAGAGGTGGGGAAGAAGGGGGTGGGGAGTTGCGGAAGTCAGAAGGGGAACTCTGCAAAGAGCCGGCTGGCCCCCAGCACTGGCCACATGCTCCCAAGCGCTCTGCCACTGAGCTATGGCCCCAGCCCTGACTCCAGGAAGGTCCAAGTTCCTCCCCAGCGCACCTTCTCCCCTCCTCCCCGGCTGCCCTGCAGGGGCACAGACACTGGGAGAAACAAACGGAGCCTGCAGAAGGTTTGTAGCCAAGGTACTGGAACGTGACTGATGGTTATTAATGACGGACACCTTCCAAACAGAGAAGCTGTTCTCTTAGATGCAAATAGACATTAAGAATCGTGCACCATCTTAGAAAGCATGTCATCTAATCTCAATAGGGTAACTCCTCCACAATGTCCCCAACAGGCACCTGGTGTCCTCCTGAAGTTCTCTGTGCTTAGAGATGGGGACCAGCCCTCAAAGTAGATTGTACCTCTCCACTGAAGACTGGGCATGGAGGAGAGAAACCCCTGCATGAATCCGTAAAACTCTACCTGTCCCTCTATTGGATGAGCATTAGCCCTCGAGTTGATAATATGCCACATGCGTCACCAAATGACATGAAATTTCCAGGGCAGCCACAGAGGAGACCGAGCTATTGAGGTTGGCTCTGTTTACCCCAGTGTGTGGCACAGGGGAGACACGAAATGACTGGCTATCAAGAAAATGCAAGTTAGAATAAACCATGTGGACGATATAAAAATAGTTCCATTCCTCATCCTGTTCCTGGTTGACTATGCAAAGGACCCTTCATTAAATGTTCAGTGCCGTGGCTTGACAGTGTCCCCCAAAAGTTCATGTGTCGGCAACACTCTCCAGTTTCATCTGTTGAGGTGTTCAGAGGTGGGACCTTTAGGGAGGGCATTAGGATTACATGAGGTCATGAGGGTGGGTCCCCTTTATGATATTCGTGGATTACAAGAAGAGAGGCCTGAGCTAGCAGCTTACTTGCTCTCACCATGTGATGCCCCCTGCTATTACCAAGAAGGCCCTCCCTGTAAACCAAGAAGCACATTCTTGGACATCCAGGCCTCCTGAACCATGAGCCAAATAAACTCTTATCCTTATAAACTACTCAGCCTTGGGTATTTTGTTACAGCCACAGAAAATGGACTAAAACATTAAGAAACTGTACAACTTCTCCTGGGAGCAAGTCCTACTGAGGGTTCCCATTGAGAACAGGACAAGACAATGGCAGGGTACAGATGTATTAAATAAGAGGAAGGAAGCAAAACCCTCAGCAGGAGAAAAGAAAGCAAGCCTGAAAAGTGGCCCTGACATCTTGCAGCAAGTCATTTAAGAGGACCCTGGAGGGTGCATGGTTTCAGTCCCACTTGGCATTATTGCAGAATGGCCTGCTCTCAGGGCTGGCCCTCGGCCTGGCACGCAACCAGCAAGACACAAATGGCCTACACAGCAGGCGGTTGTGCAGATCTCCCCAGGGCCCCAACCCCAAGGCCGGCTCCCCAGTCCTGCCAGGATGTTAACAGGACAGAGGGTAGCGGATATGGCCAGACTCGTGACGGCTTCGCCCCAGGAGTCTACAGAAGGAACACAGCAGACCCACTTGAAGCCCTGCTCGAAGCAGGCCCCCGTTATTTTCTAAACCCTGATAGCTTTCCCCACCCAGCATGTTCCCCAGCAAGGCCCTGGAGTTCCACGGTCTACGGTCTCTGCACAGGCAGCCACGCTCCTGGAAGGAAGGGGAAGGGAAAGACTTTGGAAGGAACTGAGCAGAGGGCGAGGAGAAGGGCTGGGGCTGGTATCTACCAGGCACCTTTGTGACCCACCGTCACTTCAAGGTCTGTTCAGCTCTGGCTCTGCAGAGAGCACACAGGGGGATGCGAAGGGAGCCCGAGATGGAACGCCCCTGGTACTAAGAATGTCCTTGGCTGGAGATCCTTACAGCAAGGCCTGAGGGCCATGGTTAGTGAAGGGCCCAGTCGGTCCCGCCCTGGTCATTCACCTCGGGGCCATATGCCGGCTGCTGGAGGAGGTCGGGGCTCTATATCGTCCTCCTGCAGCTGAGAGCTGTGATGAGAAAGGGACTAAGTTCTACTTTTGTGACATTCTTTGGGTTGCTACTAAATTGCTATGAAGACCACGAACCCGTGCTTTGTTGTCACAAGCTAGCAGGGTTTTTGTTTAAAAATCAAAACACATCCAGGTGCTGTGGTGCACACCTGTAATCCCAGCAGCTTGGGAGGCTGAAGCAGGAGGACTGCAAGTTCAACCCAGCCTCAGCAACTTAGTGAGGCCCTGAACAACTCAGACTCTGTCTCTAAAAAAGGCTGGAGATGTGGCTCAGTGGTTAAACATCCTGGGTTCAATCCCAGGTAGCCCAAAAAGCAAATTCCTAAGACATTTCCTAATTTACACACACACACACACACACACACACACATTTGTGAGGGGCTGCCATAAGAAAGGAGTGGCCCTGTGGGAGCCCTGCTTCTGCCTCCTGCTGGTACCCACAGCTCCCACTTGAGTTAGAGCCACCCCTCTGTGCAGTCAGCTCTGACTTCTGAATGCATTTGGCAGATTAAGTAGTCAGCATCAGCACAGGGCTCCACAGCCCTGTTTCACTGCCTCTCGGGGTGCTCAACCTCTTAGAGCTTCCTCAGGAAAACCCCAGGACACAGCCGAGCCCTGCAGCATCATCCCCTCAATTGCAATGGACACTGCTGCCCCCTAGTGGGGAGCAGGCGCTTTGGCCTCCAGGGAGAAGCTGCCTCTTGGACTTTCCCTTCCCAGGGAATTCAGGTGGAGTGAAAGAGCACACCTGAGGCTTGGAGTGTGGTCAGTGGTAGAGCGTGTGCCTGACGTGGGTTCCACCCTCAGCGCCACACAAAAGAAAAAGAGCCCAGGTTCCCAGAGTATTCTCAATCAAGAGCCCAAGGCGTCACTCACTCCAGGCTTGCAGAACGTCACTGCCAGATGCATTTCCTGAGCACCTGGCTTCCTCTGCCACAGACCAGAACCAGACCAGGGCCAGGACTTAGGCCAACTGGGAAAGGAACGCAGGGAGCGGAAACACTGGCAGCAAGAACTTCCCCTCGGCCTCTTCATCCCAGTCCCCCCCTGCCGCACGGAGCTCCTCCCTCCTCCCCACCAGGCCATCCTTACCAAAGGCTTTGGCGACGTCTCCTGGACAGGTGCAGCCTCCGTCCTTCACAGAGGAAAGAATAAGGAGAGGACATGAGTATCAGTGGGAGCTGGCCCCTCCCCAGGATGATGAGGAGCTCACACCCCCGGGCTCAGCCAGGCACCTGGACCAACAACTCAAAGTGTTGCTTTCTGGCCTAGCTGACTCCCCGAAAATCACATCTCCCATTCCCCCAGCTGCCACGTACTGCCAAATACCCATGCGCCCCCCCCCCCCAGGCTCAGGTGCCCCTGGCTAGCCCTTTAGGTAGCACCCCAGCCATCCCTTCAGCCCCGATCACTGTCCGTCAGGAGCCACTGTTCTCTCCGTGCCTGGGGTGAGGCGAGATCTATTTAGTTCAAGGGCTGCATTATTTTAAGAGCTATGGAAAGAACACGGAGTTAGTTCCTTTATCTCGGCAGCCACTCATGCCTCTCATGTCCTTCCGGTACCAATCCCAGTTACCTTAAAATTCAACACATCCACTCTCTACACCTACTTTGCCTGCACAGAGCACAGGTGTGGGGCTGGTTAGTCCCAGAGGGACACGGTTACCTTGGGCTCTGGGGGTTGTCTCCAGCCCAGCCGCATGGTACAAAGTCCCCAGCATGCAGCAGAGCTCACTGTGTTTCCTTACAAACAAGACCCCAAAGGCCCAGGCTGCTGCCTGCTCCTCCCAGTGTGGCCTGGGTGAGTCTGGGGAGGAGAAGGGGGACAGCAGTACCATGGAGTGGCAGCCAGACAGGCAGGGACAGCCAGGAAGCTCAGGCCGGAGGGGAGAAACAGCACACCAGTGACACAGTCCAAAGGTCACTGTGGGCCTAGGAGAAACACCGAGGCCCCTGAGGGGCCACCTGTTCCCAGGAACACAAAACACAGGCCACTTGGTGCTGCCCTGGGTGACAACCTGCAGGAGTGTGGCACCAGGATCAATGGAGAACTGGGACGGGCCACTTTGCAAGGAGCATCTGGATCTGAGGACACAGGCCTCGGGGACTCTGGCTCTGCTGTGGCTCATCAGGCCTGCCGCGCTGAGAGCTGGAGTGCGGCTCCACGTGTCACTTGTCACTGCCCCGCAGCCGTGACCTGATGGGAGGGAGGTGTGAGGGCGCCACCAGCTCTTGCCTCAACTCTTCCCTGTGTAGCCTCCCTGACCCCAGAGGGCCACAGGGCACAGGGGCACCAGCAGTTCAGCGACAGTCTCTGCACTCAAGGTGTCCGGCCCCAGACCTCCCTGGGAGGCAGGGGCTGTGGTTCCAGACACCTGTCACCGCTTCCATCCCCACAGGTACAACCTCAACCTGCCCGCCACGCATCCATCAGTTCACTTTCTAGAGCTTTCTCAAAAACAGCTCTGCACCACCGGGTTTCAAACCATAACCTCAAATGAACAAAATAAACTCATGCTCCTATTAGAATAGGTCTCGGAAATTCTGACTGGGAAACAGGGTATCTCCTGGGGCTCCTGAAAACCCCCAGCTGTGGTCAGGGATGAGGCCTGATGCAGATGTCCCGCATTACTGGGAGCATAAAAAACCAGCCCCTCTTCCCAGGATGAGCCAAGAAGGCCACAGTCAACTCGGCTGCAGACTGGGCCGCAGAGAGGAAAAGGGTTATGGCGCCACCTGCCCCCATTATGTGTAGGCATCTATAAGATGCCCCCAAACGAGCCGGTCTGCAGTTAACCGCATGCAATCCATCTTGACATGAAGCCTTAAGACAAAGCAGTCTGTGCCCCTCTGCCAAGCAAAGCATCCTTTCATGTTCCCAGGGGATGGGGGAGCAGGGCACCCTCTGAAATCTAAGACACACATTTACCTTCACAGAGGTGCAACGGCTGGAGAGTTTTTAAAAAAGGGGAGCAAGCTGGGTGTGGTGGAGCATGTCTATAATCCTAGCAGCTGGGGAGGCTGAGGCAGGAAGATGGCAAATTCAAGACCAGACTCAGCAACTGAGCAAGGCTCTAAAGCAACTTAGTGAGAGACTCTGTCACAAAATATATAAAAAAAAAAAAAAAGGAAGGAAGGACAGGCTGGGGATGTGGCTCAGTGGTTCAGCACCTCTGGGTTCAATCCCCAGAAACTGAAGCCAGCATTTTCTAAGTGAGGGCGAATATGAGACTCAGAAAGACTGAGTGACTCTCCTAAGGCCACATAGCTATAAAAATGGAAACATGGGCTGGGGATGTGGCTCAAGCGGTAGCGCGCTCGCCTGGCATGCGTGCGGCCCGGGTTCGATCTTCAGCACCACATACCAACGAAGATGTTGTGTCCGCCGAGAACTAAAAAATAAATATTAAAAAAATTCTCTCTCTCTCTCTCTCCCTCTCTCTCTCTCTCTCTCATTCTCTTTAAAAAAAAAAGGAAATATAAGATTAGAACCAGCAGCTGTCTTATGACAGCATTTCTGATATTTTCTGGGGGGTGGGTGGGTTCTGATCCTTATTTTTTAACGTTTGTTTACATTTCTAGCTTTTCCTAGATTGAGCATGTTGGGGGGACTTTTCAAGGCCTTAAAAATTAAGATTTAATGAGGTTGAGTAGGTCTTTCTAAATCACAGTGTGACAAGAAGAAATGAACTGTTCATTCCTTAATCTTTGCCTGCGTGGGGGTGTCTTGAATTTTCCCACACTCTGCCCCCTGAAGCCTACAGTGGCCATAATAAATAGAAACCTAGCTCCAGCCCCACCTGTTGGCCCCCTCTGGTGGGGCTTCCTGGGAACTGCAACAGCACAGATGTGCTCATTCAGTAATGCATGTGTGCAAGGAGACAGCTGGAAGGACACTGGACACAGTGACAGGCTCCAAACATCTGCTGGGTTCGCTGCAGGTTCCAGACTCTTGGCAATTGGGAGAAGCCATCTTGTGAGGCTGTGTGACACCAGGCAGGTGGGAGCAGCAGCTGCTGTGAGCCTGGGCGTGTGCAGCTGGTGGCAACTGGGGAGCCAGTGAAGGGTCCACTCCTGTAGCAGCTGTGAACTGCATCTGGACTCCTGGCTGCAAACTGCACTCCTGACCCCATCGAGGAACTCCCACCAATTCTCAGGTAGGCTCCTAAGGGCCACCTTCCCACCGCAGGAGCCCACAGGCCTGGGCCATCAGCGCCCCCTACTGACATCAGCACATGAAAGCTGGCCCTAGAATCCAGCCAGCAAGGCCGAGTTTCCCCTAAGTAAGCCAAACCTCAGGACACATCAGAACGACCCAGAGGCGGTGTTCATACAGATGCTCGGGCCTCGCTGCCTGACTCAGTAGGTCAGGCCTAGAGGGGGACCCAGGAAATCTGACGAGCCGTTAGTTGATGCCAACGCTGCTGGTCTGGGCACCACACTCAGAACTGAAGCAAGTTACCCACTGGGTCATGCTTTGCAGAGAAGCTTAGGTGATTTCCACCGGAGTCGGCTGGGGTACCCACAGAGCCTCCAGGACCCCCACCCCAACCTGCTCAAGCAGTCCTGTGAACTGAGCAAGTCTGAAGTTTCCGGAAGGACATCAAGTGTGGTGTCTCAGAAGAAGCTCGGCGTCAGACTTCATTCACTGGACTTCCACTCTTGGAAATGGTGGTCATTCGAGGAAGACCTGACATGGGGCCCAGGTTCTGATGAAGACTCTTGAAGGTGAGCATGATTACATAATGGGGACTTGCAACTCACAACCCATGAGGCACTGGGGTCCAAGACTAAAGAGCCTAATTCTCTAGGATGGGGTCCGGTGACATCCTTATAAAAGTTCTCTGGTGGTCTTCATGCAGCCAGCCCAGATGACACTGAAGCAAGCATCTGAGACCCACTGGCAGACTGGAGCATGGGAGTGCTGCTTGGTGGCTTCCATGACAAGTGCCCTGACTCAGCAAATGTAGACTTGGGGTCTACATCAGTCTTTTCCACCCCAGGTGTTCAATGAATGAGTGCTATATCTTCACTGGGGAAAAAGATGAGTGGACAGCCTTAGAACTCTGTATTCACCAATAAAATGTTGGTCATTTATTCTAGTTTCTAGCACCCAGTAGGTGCTCAATAAACACTCACTGGATGAATGGGTAGAGAGATGAAGAAACTGGATGAGGAAGGAGAAGGAACCCAGGCAACCCACACTACACTGAGAGCCCAGGGCTTGGAGCCTAGCATGCATCTTAGCTGAGAGTCACGTGGTATGAGGCGGGGCCGGCAGGGCTCAGGAGCTGTGGTAAGACTCAAATGAGACCCAAGCACAGAGGGGTTCTGACAGAGTCATAGCACCTTGAGATCAGGATGAAAAGCCAGACCCAGACCTCAGCAAGCACTGAGGCTAAGGCAAAATCAATGAGGAAGCCTTCCACAGAGATGACCACATCAATTCTCATTTTTTTAAAAATCACCTATCATGGGACTGCAAATTGGGGCAACCACTATGGAAAGCAGTATGGAGATAACTCAGAAAACTTGGAATGGATCCACCATTTGACCCAGCTATCCCACTCCTCAGTCTACAGTCAAAGGACCTAAAATCAGCATACTGTAGTGACACAGCCACATCAATGTTTATAGCAGCTCAATTCACAATAGTTAGACTATGGAACCAACCGAGGTGCCCTTCAACAGATGAATGGACAAAGAAACTGTGGTACATATACACAATGGAGTATTAGCCTTAAAGAAGAATGAAATTATGGCATTTGCATGTAAATTGATGGGACTAGAGAATATCATGCAAAGTGAAATAAGCCAATCCCCCCCAAAAAACAAAAGCTGAATGTTTTCTCTGATAAGTGGATGCTGATCCATAGTGGGGTGAACGGATAGGGAAGAATGAAGGAACTTCGGTTTGTGTAGAGGGGAGTGAGAGGAGGGGTGGGGTTCTGGGGATGGGAAAGACAGTAGAAAGAGACAGACATTATCACCCTCTGTACATGCATGATTACACCTGGAGTAACTCTGAACCATGTATAGCCAGAGGAATAAGAAGTTGTACTTCGTTTGGGTACTATATGTCAAAAATGCATTCTACTTTAAAATAAATAATAAAAGAAAAAAAAACACTTATCCATGATTTAATGTGCGAGCTTGACCTTGCAACAGCAGAAGTGAAAGGTCTGAAGGTTTAATTTACTCGACATAAGTCAGCACTGTAATAGAAACACTAAAAACAGACCACACTTCCAATCTATAAGATATGTATGTGTATGCACAGGCACATAAAATACACGGCCTGCCTTCTGTATCTGTGAGTTCCATACCGTTGGATTCAACCTAACACAGATGAAAAATATTTTTTAAAAAACTGCATCTGTACTGAAAGTGCAGACTTTTTTTTTGCCTTAGTTCCTAAATAATACAACTATTCATATTATATTTACCTGTACCAGGTGCTATAGTCATCGTAGCCCATGGTAGGGTGTGTGTAGGTCATATGCAAATACTACACAATTTTACACAGGGACTCGGGCACCATGGGCTGTGGCTTCCACAGGGGTGAGACCAATCCCCACAGACGGCAAGAGACGATCACGCACACCTGTGTACACGCCAAACACCCACAGAGTGAAAGCCACAGCTCTGTCGGCACCCACCAGACCTGACACCAGGCCTGCTCCGAGCATCTCATCTCACAAAACTACCTGCAGGGGGCTGAATGGTCGTCACATGTGAAGGTGGACGAGGCACCCGAGAGTCAAAGACAGGCTGTAAATCAGCATTTATTCCTTAGTCACCTTTAGGGGCACCGTCCCTCCAGAAGCTTCTGATGGAATACTGCCTGCCTGTCCCCAACTCCCTCCTTCCCACATGTGCCACTGAAGTCTGCTCTCGCCTGTCCACAGCGGGGCCACGGGCAGCGTCTTGGGAGGCACCCTCCCCAGGCCTCTGTGGTCCATCCTCCTGGTCTGCGTCTGCTCCTCGGTCCCTGCCCAGGCTCCAGAGGGCAACCCCGGGCTTCACCTCTCACTCCCACATGCGTCCACTCCCGGGGCTCCCGCAGTGTAGGAGCTGTTGGCTCTGATCAGCCGAGATCGGGTCTCCAACCGTGAACCCAACCCTTAATGGATCTCCTCCTGACGCCCCTCGAGCTCTTTGAAACCTCCAGTCCCCAAAATGAACCCTAGACCAACCCCGACCTCTTCCCTTGCAGCCAGTACTCATCCCGAGGAGCAGCTGGCCCCTCGTCTACCAGCTGCCAAGCGGCTGCTCCATTGCCCAGGCTTATTTAACTCTCCCCTGAACATCCCTTGGTTCTGCGGAGGGCTCCCAAGCCCCACTACTACCCTAGTGGAAGGCACATCAAATCCTGCCTGAAGCACACTGTCCCTTCTTCTCGGCTTGCCCCTTTCCCATCCTTCCCAGGCAACTCGTTGGATGTTTCTGCCAGACACATGGATCCACTGGGCACTCTCCTGCTCAGACCTCTTCAATAGCTCCCCAGCACCCTCGGGAGAAGTCCCAATCCTTAACAGGCCACAGCACTCACAGCTGCCCTGAAGCTCATCCCCTGCCCCCTCTCCTGCCCACTTCCAGCTCCCTCCTCTGATGGAGTGACTTTGAGGTCTTTCAGTCAGTCCCKACACTCTTCAGTGCCCTCCCCTCCCCTTCATCTGAAGCCTGCCCTGGGCACTTCCTACCACTCACCCTAGGAAGCCCACACCATGCATGCTGTAGCCTGTTGGGAGTCAAACCGCATCCCCCTCAAGAGTCACGTTGCCATCCTAACCCCTAGAATGTGACCTTATTTGGACACTGGGTCACTGAAGAGGCATTTAGTGAAGTCAAGGTCGTCTTGGAGCAGGGTGGTCCCTGGGCCAAAAGGATCCGTCTCCTGATAAAAAGGAGGAATGGACAGAGGCACCCAGGGAAAAGGCCACATGGACACCGGAGCTGGGCTGCCAGAAGCCAAGGACACCGAGTGACAGTTAGCAGGGGTCCACCTGGAGCCTGGAACACAGCCCCTGCTGCTCTGCACTCAGGCCCATCTGTGTGCTTTCTATGCCCTCCCTCACCTGGGGCAGGACAGGGTGACCTTATTCCCCACCTAGGCAGGGCCATCCGTCTTGGAGCACCTGCCACCACAGGGATCCAGTAAGGCAGGCTTCAGGGGTGGCACCAGAAGATCAAATTCACAGGTGAATCACAACCAGGGAACACCTGATACGAAGCACTGGGAGAGGTGCACGCCGGGTATCCCAGCAGCTCGGGAGGCTGAGGCAGGAGGATCAAGGCCAGCCTCAGCCAAAGCGAGGCCCTACGCAACTGGAACAGGAGTCCCCTGTGGTTCTCCTTTGCTGGCAAAGCCACAAATCTTCTTTTCCCTTTTCCTCACAACTGCATCCTCATTACTAAACGGGCATCCGGGATGAGGACGGAGCTTTGGGTGCTCAGCCCACACCTTGATCTGGGGAACTTCTGGCCTCTAGAACTGGGAGACACGAAATGTCATGGTTTGAGTCTGTGACACTTGGTTAAAAAACATCCCTAGCAAAGGACCACATGCCCCTGCGTCCTCAAGGCTGCCTGCGATCCCCATCATGCCCCTCCCCCCACCTCCTTAGTGACTGCAGGCTGGAGGCCCCTGCAGAAGACGCAGGCAGCCAGGTCTGTCTCTGCTGAAGGTCACTGATGCAACCACAGGGCCCCGTAAGGCAGCCAGCTCCCTCAGGGTCAGGGTCAGGGTCAGGGTCCCCCCTGCCGTCTCAACCTGCTTCAGCCCCAACCCCAGCCTCGACACAGACTCACCGAGATGATGTGCCCCTTGAGGCCGTGGGCGGAGTCCGCGCACTCGATCACCGCACTCAGCTGCGGGTAGCCCACCCCGGTCTTGGTGCGGGTGGTGCACACGGAACCTGCGGAGGAAGGGGGGGACCCCAAGGAGAGGTTACACGTGAGCAGCACATGAACGAAACGCACCCCCTCACCTTCCCACCACCTGCCCCAGAAGGTGGACTGCCCTCTGCAGGGGGGTGCATGCTTGGAAGGGAGGGGCTGACTGGCCAGTGCGACAGAGGTGGCCAGGTGCCACCCCACCTGCCCAGGCATGCCCTGGGGCCCTGGTCACCGTCACCACCGATGTTCAGATGTTCAGGATGTCGCCCTCTCCCCGCTCTCCCCTGCGTGGCGGAGCACCGACCTCCCCCAGTCCCCTCTCCTCCTACCCCTTCCTGTCTCAAAGGACTTCCCAGAGTCCTCCCACAGCCTGTGCACCCTGAACCCCAAACCTCTGTAAATCTCCTGACCTCCCCAAGCCTCAGAAGTCCCTGCACACCTGTGACAGAAACACAAAAGCACACGCCTCGCAGGTTGGGACCTGGGTCAGACGGCACAAGGCCTGGTCTGGCCTGCAGGGGGCCCTGAGGAAGGGGGGCCAGGACAGTGGTACCCCTCACTCGTCCTCAGCTCTGCCTCCAGGAGACCCTTTACCATCTCGCCGTCCACCTCCCACCTGAGCTGCACCGCCCCAAGTCTCCAACCAGCCTGCCCCTGAGTCAGCTCTGCTGCCCACCTTCCTCCCCCACCTCTCCTCCCATCAAGCCCCGTCCAGGCTGTATTCTCCGTCAGGTCTGGGGAACAGGTATCTTTCCCTATGTCCCTCCCAACAAGTGAGCACCCCTTCACGCTGTACCCAGAGCAGCTAGATCCAGCTCCACCTGCGACCCTCCTGGCTCACCTCATCTCTAGCTGCTACTTACCCCAGATTCAGTCCCTCTGACAGAGGGGGCAAGTTTCTCCCCCCCCCTTAGGGATTCTCTGTCCACGCCATTCTCTGTGCACCCCCCTCTGCACCACCCCCTCTCCAGGCAAGGCTTTCTCGTCTTCAGGCTTCATCTTCAATGTCAGTGCCCCAGGGAACTTGTTCACCGCAGGATTTCTTCCAAGCAGCGGCATTTAAATCATTATTTGTGCAAGCGCATTGAGGATCTGTTTTTCTCTGCCGGGTGGTAAACTCAGTGGATATTCACACTGCTGTCTATCCCACGCTGAGAAGAGAGCCTGGTACATAATCAGGGCACTATAAATAGCCACTGCGAGGATGCACAGGCCAGGAATGAGTGTGTCACCCACGTCCCCGTCTCCACTGCTCCGCCACCCACGTAGCTGCTCCTGGATGTCCATCTGGGGTGCTCTGGGGCCAGCGTAATGGCAGACCAGAGATACCACTCCTCCTGCTCAGAGCGTTGACTGCCTCCCCGCCCCGTGATGGCAACCACACTCTGAGACACTGGAATAGTCGAACTGAAGACCTCCCTGTGAGGTCTAAGGCTGGTTATTCTATAGGTCCACAGGGCTGTTGTTCCTCTTTTCCTCCAGGTCCTGGTCCCTCGAACCCTCCCCTCTGCACCAAGCCAAGTCACCACCCACCGGAGTCCTGGCCTCCAGCTGTACCCTCCACAGACTCCTCTCGTTGGCTTATGGTCCATTTCCTTTCATCATGGTGTCTCTTGGGTGGGAGGTGCTTTTAAACATCTTTGCTGGGTTTTTTTTAGTCCCAATATGAAAATGGACGTCTTTGTTCCTGCTCTCTAATGTTGGCATCTGATTAATAACAGACATAGAGGGAACTCGTCACCAACACAGCAGTGGATTCAGCCTCCAGCACGGCACACCGGAGGGCAGACACCAGTGGACCCAAGAAACCACGGCGCCACCCAGCACAAGGACCAAAGGCCTCCACCTCTCTTCTCCGTTCAAGATGCCAACGGGTGGTCCTAGCAGAGAAGGCCTGAAGGGGAAATGGGCGAAATCTTGCCTGCCGGCTGCCAGGTGAGGGGCCAACAGTGATACGTGCCTGGTCACAGGTGACGTTCAAATGTGGATTCACAGCCACACGCCGATCTGCAACGTTTGGGGCTCTTCAAACATTCCTGCTCCTGAGCCATCCTTGTGCATTAACCGTCCTCTCCGTCCTCCCTTCCTCCTCTCCGTCCTCCCTTCCTCTTCAGAGCACTCAGCTTGTTAATGAACTCTGCCATCCTCTCTTCCAGGACCCCCTACTCCAACTTCATCTCTGCTCCTCTCAACACCGTCTGGAGGCATCACAATGAACTCAAGGACCTCTCTTCTCAGGAGCTCTGTCTGGAAGCTCAATGATGCTTCCAGAAGAGAGAGGCTTTGAACCCATGGGGGAGTTGTTCCTGTGCTCCCATCTGGTCATTCCCAGGGCCCCCAAGCCCCAGGCCCGATCCTCCCCACGGACACCCTCCAGGGGCTTCAAGGTCTTACCTGGACCAACTCCCACTTTAATGATATCTGCTCCCGAGAGAATGAGCTCCTCCACCATCTCTCCTGTCACCACGTTCCCTGCCTGGGACAGAAGGAACACAGCTCACAACAGTGAGGACTCCCGGGGGAAGGTGGATGAGGAGCCCCACACCTGAGCATGGGATGTGCGTGGCCCATGATCACCAGGCCACCACTGGGGGACAAAAGGAAAAAGCAAACACTGGTCCCGGTTCCTGAGCCTGTTCAAGTCTGAAATTGGTGAGCCGAGGTCTTCCTTTGGTTCCTTTCATGACCCGGAAAAAGGTTTCCCGTATTCATTACCTGGAAAGCACTCCTGAAGAAGCGGCCAGGGGTCACTGACGCACGAGAAGGGCCTGAACGAGATCATTCAGAACCAGAAGAGATCGGAGGGTGTCTGGGTCAGGAATATTCTAAACACGTCAGCAATCAACAAAGCAAAAACTTCCAAACACATAAAATAAGCCATGAAACACATTCAAACTGACTGAAATTCTTATGGTGGTGCCTAAAATACTCCAGAGAAGCCTTGTGTAGAGGTGAATGCCTATGATCCCATCAACTCTGGAGGCTGAGGCAGGAGGATCGCAAGTCGGAGACCAACCTGAGCTTAGTGAGACCCTGTCTCAAAATAAACTTTAAAAAAAGAGTTGGGACTGAAGCTCAGTAGTTTGACTTGCATGTATGAGGCCCTGGGTTCCAGGTGGGGAGACTGGGGGGGAGAGACAATGCTTCAGAGTTTGCCAAATCTCTGAAGAATCTCCATGAACTCCAGAGAGCCAGGACTGGAAAGTTCCCCATCTTCTCATAGTTGAGAAATTCCCTGAGTGTTCTTGCCCTAGGGTTGAGGTTCCCCTCTGGATATGGAAGGACAGATCAGTCCTTATGGATCACATAGCACTGGCATGTGCTCCGTTTACCGAGCACGAAGCTTTGGCCCTAAGAATAAACACACAAGCCAGGAAATGGCAGAATCCATCAACCAGGAGGATGCATCTGGTTTGGAAATAGTTCAAGTTCTTTCGCTGCAGGAGTCCAGGAGCACAAAAATAGCCCTTTATATTACAACTCCTTGCCCTGTGGATCCTCCAGCTGGCACACAGGATCCTGGGCAAGATGCCCAGCTGAGTTTTCACGACTGCGCAAAGACCTATTTTACAAAGTGCACCCCTGTCCCCTCTACTCACATGGACACCAAAGGGTCTCTTCACTGAATTGATTCTCCGGGGGGAAATTTTCTTTTTTAACCTAGACAAAGTGACTAGCACTTCCTAGAAAAGGTTGCTAGAAGAAGGTGGTGAGGTGCGCACAAAGCTGCTTAACTACAAACAGCAGCTGACAACTGGGGGGGGTGACAGGAGGACTAGAGGGGGGGTCAGAGTTGAAGGACAGCTGCAAGGAAGCCCTGAGTACCTGCAAAACGTCAAAGGGGAAACAAAAAGCTGCCCGTGTAGAAATGAAATGCACACATGCAACAGCTCCAGCAACCAACACCAACCCGGCAGAGAAAAATACACTATCCCGTCGAAGGGGCACCGTCCCCAACATAACAAGAACAGAGAGGAGAAAGGCTAACGCCTCACAAGTACCAAAGGACGAGAACGAACTAATAGGAATTGTTAAAAAGTGGCTAACAAAACCTGGGGAAATGTTCAACTCCGCTAATCATCAAAGTAAAAACGCCAACGTGGTTCCACTTTTCATGTAGGCCCTCAGCAGTTGTGAGCATGAATGCCAAAGTCAACTCATCAGGAGATCTGCTGGAGGAACGTCTATTTTGGTCCAAGTTTTCCTCAAAAGCAATTTGTCCATAGAGAAGAAACGGGAAGACACACACATCTTTTGACCCAGTAATTCTCCTTTTAAGATCCTCTCCCAAGGAAATCATCAATGAGGACAGAGGTTTAACTGTAAAGACTATCATGTGTCACAGTGCAAAACTGCAAATGCAGTCCCCAAAATGGGAATGGTTCAACAATCAATGGCCCACTCACGTGATGGTTGAGACTTCTTTATTTGGGGGCACAGAGCTGGAGATCCAATCCAGGGCCTCTTGTTCATGCTAGGCAGGCGCTGTCCCACTGAGTCACACCCCTGCCCCATGGGATGCTTTTAAGAAGAGTTTAATGGCATGAGAAATGCTTAAACAGTGTAGGGGAAAGCAAGATCTCAACTTTGTTTATGTTTTTTAGATGCACGTGTATATGAAAAACAAACAAACAAACAAAACAAAACACCAAGGTGCTAACCAACTACCTGGGTGAAGAGACTTTCTGAATTCTATGAATTCTCTCTCCTTCTAAACTTGTCTGGATTTTATACTAGAAGCACATATTTTTTTAACGGGGAGTTGGGGGTGGGGTCGAACTGTTTTCTGTAGCACAAGGAAAAGCCTGAACTCTGGTGGTCAGGAGCCTGAGAAGACTGCAGCTCCTGTTCTTCCTCGCTGGGTGACTCACTAGGACAACACCTCCAGGAAGCAACTCCAACGGAGCTCCAACCAGGAGCTTCCACAGTGTCATCCCCTCTGCTCAGCCACCACGTGGCTCTGTGGTCAGGACACCGTCACTGAGGCCAAGTGGAAAAACCCAAAGTGACCATGAAGTGCCTCCAGTGTGAGCCACGGCATAACAGTCGAACACCGGGGACCAGGAGGGGACCAGGAGGGGACCAGCGGGTTGTACGGACAGACGGGCAAAGCCGTCTACTCAAATTTGAAACCAAGAAGAGCAAAACCAGGGAACAGAGGACAAGACCAGAGCAGAAATGAGAACGGTGACACAGCAGTTGGGCTCTGGTGACGTCCCTGGCCTCTGGTCTGGGCATGGTGTGAGGCAGCGGAGCGGGGAGGGGCTGGCCGGGGAGATTAAGTGAGGAGCTGGCCTTATCTTGGCAGGGACACCTCCTGGCACGGCGGATACAGGCCGTCAGCACTCAGGGTGCCGGTGTCTGCCCGCAGCTGCACGTCAGGCCGCTGCTCTCCTGGCAGCCAGGACGGAAGATGCACTATGGGGCTCCTCGCAGCAGGCACAGGGGCTCTGCTCAGTCCCCCTTGCCCAGGGAGGTCAGGCAGCGTCCGGGCTCCCTCCCACTCTGGATGGAGCAGCCACTCCTCTGCGTCAGAGATGTGCGAGGACCAGGGGAAAGACACAGGGTGACAAGGCTTGCAGCGGTCTGAGTGTTTGTCTCTCTCCAGACTTCACGTGTTGAAACCCTCCCCCCAGTGAGGGTGCTGAAGGCAAGGCCTTGGGGGTCATCAGGTTATGGGGAAGACCCCCCGGGATGGAGCAGTGCAGGTAAAATCAAAGCAAGAGAGCCCAGGGGTCCTCACCCCTCCACTACACAAGGACACAGTGACAAGACCAGGTTCCTGCCAGGCACAAATCGGCCTCCGGAACTGTGCAGAACAGACTTACGATATCCATAAGCTACCAGTTCGTGGTATCTCGTTCGAGTGACCCAAAGAGACCAAAATCCTCTGTGCAAAACCAAAACTCAAAACCGCTCACTCCCATTTTTCCAGCTTCCCTTTAGACCCCCACCCGTGGCAAACACAATCTCAAAGACCCCCGAGTCCAACACCAGATCTCCCTTTTCCTGGGTAGTTTGGAGCAAGTCCCTTCCACTCTGAGTGTCAGTTGATCCTGCTATAAAACGGGGCCAGGCGTCCCCACATGCGGTTATTACAAGGTTCACAAAGAAACCTGTCCAGTTCTCCGCCCAGCGCCCAGCAATGCCCCGTCAAGGTCGATCCCTCCCTGTAACAGTGATCTCTGTTGTTACTCTTCTCACAACCGTTGAGGTTTGAGTGAGTGATATCTGTGATCGAGTTCACTATTTTCAATATGTGGTCAGCATTAAATCCATTCACACTGTAACGCAACCGTTGTTCATCTCCAGAAGTTTCCACCACCCAAATTCACCATTGTCTACCCTGGGCACTGGCTGGCCCTGGGCCAAGGGAAGACCTTTCCACAGAATGAGCAAAGGGAAGGGTTAGGAGGGAGATTGGGCCTGGCAAGGTGAGGGGGGTGAGGACCGCCTCAGGCCCTCTCCCACCCCCGGGCCCAGCACCGCTCTCGCTGCCTGTGCAGTCCAGGTGACCTCGGCCCTTGAGAAAACAGAGCTGAGTTGATTATGTGGTTCCCAGAGACACGCACCCCCGCTGGACCTCTGAGGCCCTTGGTAGCTTTCAGTGGGTTCCAGAAAGAGAATGAAAACAGAAAACCCGTGGGCTGCGCCTGGGGCTCAGCGGTGGAGCACTTGTCTTGTGAGGCCCTGGGTTCCACCCTCAGCACCCCATAAAGATGAATAAAATAAAGGCATTGTGTCCACCTACAACTAAAATATATATATACTTTTAAAAAAACACAACTCCCCCCCCCCCGAAAACCCAGGGAGCACGGTGCTGTCCGCTGTAACACACTGACTGGCAGAGCCACTGGGTCCATGCAAGGAAGTGTCCCCCTCTCTGGGCAGAGGTGTGGGGCATGTGGCTTGAGCCCTGTCTCATGATGATAGGTGGAGAGAGAAGGCAGCTGATTGAGCCAGGCTCCTGCGTAGAAATGCTGAGTCTGGGCCGGCCTCCGGTCTAACAGGAGTGGCTTAGGTCTCCTAGGCCACAACAAGCCGTCTGCACTGAAGCCCTCCCCAGAGCCCACAGCGGGACCTCCATGTCTGGATGTGACCTGGCATAACTGCAAGATCACAGGCCCCGCCCACCTTTCACAGAACCCCTGGCTTCTGTGAGACTAGGTTTCACATCAACAGAAGTGAGTGGCATCCTGCCCACTCTAGGAGGCAGTATTAAAATAGCAATGCTGGGCTGGGGAGTGGCCCAGGGGTAAAGCACCAGCTTAGCGTGAGTGAGGTCCCGTGTTCTATCCGCAGCACCACCACCAACAAAACCCAAACCCAAATAATAAAAATACAAAAGAAGTGTCTCTTCCCACAGTACCTAGAACATACCCAAGAAAACAGGGTTCTTTGTCCTGTCTGAAAGCCACCAGGCCCAGGCCTTAACACTGCTACAGTCTCCCCACAGCCAGACCCTCCACAGGGTCTCTTTTCTGCCAAAGATGCTGCTGAAAAGTCCCCACCTCTGGCAAGTCTCACCTGAGGGGCACGGCAAGAAAAACCCGGGCAGTGAGACCACCCCAGGTCATGACACAGAGGCGTGGCCAGCTCTGGCCAGAGTGCTCCTGAGCTCGCCTCCTACTGGGCCTTGTATTAAGGCTCAGGACCCCACCCAGCACCTTTCAGCTCCCAAACCCTGGGGAATGTGAATGCGCCCTCAGCCCTCACAGCGCCTCCAAAAGCCGCAGGGAAACCACGTGTGCAAAACCACAAGAGCCAGGGGCAAGAGTGCTGGGGCCTCCGAATGAATCAAAGATTTCAGGGGTCAGCGGAGGTGAAGAATGGCTCAGCCACCAACACCCCCCTCTGCCAACGCTCCTGCCCATTGCTGAGGAAACCAACAAGGGCAAGCAGAACACCTCCAGGGCCAGCCAACAGGTGCTGGGTGGAGAGGCCCTCGGTAGGAGGCCATCCGAGGGCTGTGGGAACTCCGCGTCCACCCTGCACCACCCCTTAGCAACCCCAGACCCTGCACTGGCCACAGTACCCTTTCCCTGCCCCACCTGGCCACGCTCCTTCCTGCTGGTCCCGTTGCTCCTGGTCTCTGTCCCTGAAGGGTGGCACACAGGCCCTCTGGGTTAGGCAGTGGTCACCTCCCTCCCTTCTCAGCAAGGCCAGCTCTCTGGAGCAGCAGAAGGGAGGTCTGGGGAGCCACCGTTTGGAGAAGCGAGGCTCACTGCCCCACCCTTCTCAACACAACCCCCAGCCTCTCCCGGCCAGAGGCGATCCTCAGAGCACATGCCCTGGGTAGACTCACTGCCGACAGCACCTGCTGGGAAATGCCACTCTGCCTAGGGGGACCCCAGCACCCTCCAGCCACCAGCACCCTCACACGAGAGGACAGAGAGAGCTGGACACATACAATGCCCCCAGGCCACTCAGCTCCTGTGCCTACCCTGACTGCAGAAGTGCTGCCTCTGAACGTCTGTGTCCTCCTCAACTTCATTTCTTGACACCTAGTCCCCACATTGGGAAGTGGCACCTTTGAGAGGCAACCAGGTCATAAGGGCACAGTGGCCCAAATGGACTAAGGGGAGCCCAATAAGTAATTTTAATGGTGCGGAAACCAGCTGCAAAGGATAGAGACAGGAAAAGAGCAAGGGAGGCAGCTGGGCAAGAATATTAAGCTCAACCCCAGAAACCATGGAGTACTATGCAGCTGAGAAAACACCCTGGGAAATCTCAAACGCACCATCAGGAAAAAGCAGATTCAAAAGATATAGAGATGAACACTTAAGTTTCAAAACGGGGCAAAATCTAAGTGTCATTTAGGACTGCAGAAGTAAGTGGCAAACCACAAAGAAGGAAGAGAGGACCACAGTCGGGATGGGTGTTTCACTTGAGGCGGGAAGTCGAGGGCTCCTGCGGACAGGTGAGCTGACGTGTGCTTATTTTATGATCATTTATTAAACCTCCATGTTTTATATGCTCTTCTGAATCTCATATTTCAATTCATAAAGTTACTGAAGACATAAAGTGGAGCTACTAAATCACCTGTGTAATTTCTGATTAGTGCTTCGAAACTAACCTGGGGCCCTGATGTCAGGAGATGGAGAGAGTGGCTTCCCGTGTCCTAACCAATCCCCGCGTCTCCAGAGCAACTAAGCCAGGAGAGGCCAGGGAGCAGAGAGGACCCAGAGCCTCAGACAAGACGGTCAATAGCAGCCCCCTCTCCTCCTCTCAGGAAGGAATAAACAGGAGGCCTCCTCTGCACTGACCTGTGAGGTCTGTGGCCAGCCTGGGCAGGGCTAGAGAACCGGAGTCCCATGATGAATGCTGTTTACGGGCCACCAGGTCCAGGCAAGGCGTGGAAGCCAGCTTCCAGTTCCTTCTTTAAGATGTCCCAGGAAAAAGCTACCACAGAGGGGTGTGGACAGAGAAACCCAGGGGGGCCTCAGGACCAGGGGCAGGAGCCATGCCTTCCACTGCCAGCCCAGAGGTCAACTGTGTGACCTGGGGACCAGGAGGCAGGGAAATGTCCTGGGGAAGGTTAAGGAGGGCAGGGGCGTGTCCGGCACACCTCAACGGGCAGCTGGCATGGCCTTCAGACTTACGTGGATGTGTTTTATGAAAATTCCCCAAACCCAGAACAAATCAGAGTTTGAGATTCCTGATCTGTAGTACCTGGGGGATGACCCTTTCTATCTTTGCAGAGATCTGACAAAGACGACAGGAGATTGACATGAACCTCCTGAAACCAGCAGGTACTTAGAAAAAAAAAAAAAACACACACAAACACACACCTTTTTCTTACTCCTCATATTTGTCACAGTAGAGAACACTTCAGGGAACCGTCCCACACACACACACCAAGCCACTGTCCCACCAGGCACCCTACCATTCAACTCGGTTCTGACCTCAGGTGCCAGTCACAAGGAGGTTACCCACAAATCCTGAACCAACTGGCAGCTCCCGTGATCCCCTTCCCAAGGCCTCTGCTGGAGCTGCTCAGACCCATGGAAACTCTGGACAAGGAAGCTCAGACTTACCGGTTTAGGATGCGATGACGAGACACCCAGGAGAGGTCCTAGGAACTCGGGTCCAAGGCCAAATCTGACCACAAAAGACTCTCCAGGCCCCTTACCTAGAGGACTGCTGAGCAGTTCTGTCTCAGAAGCAGACCCCTCATTCTTTCGCAGAACTGAACCCACGATTTTTAAAGTGAGCTGAGCTGTCACGCAGGGTAAGAAGAGCTTTGCCACTTCCTGCCCAGGCTCCCTGGCCCAGCTGCCAGCCTCAGCTCAGTTCCTACCTCTTTCTCCCGGTGGGCTGGAAGAGCATAAAAAGACTTAAGGATCCTCAGAAGTCCCTTCACAGAAGACTAAACTCCATTCACCAATAATTGGGGCCCCCCAACTTCCTTGCCCCTGATGAAATGTGCGGAGAAATCAGGCTCCGAACCCAGCAGAGCTGAGGGCCGGTGAAACACCCAGCAGACGACCTGGGATCACTGTGGAAATCGAGACCAAGGAAGAATAACGACGATACAAATTTTCCCAAAGGCCCAACTCTAGAGATTTCAACTTCTTTTTTTCTGCAAATCCACCGTTCCCAGAAGTCACAAATACGCATTCTAACTAGGGAGGGTGCCAGTGATCAGGACAGTCAGGAAACAGATCCCACGGGATAAAGCAACACGCCCACCGGCCGACCACCGTTGTGGCATGAGGTTCCCGTGTGGAGTCCAGCGCTCACGGCGGAGTCGGGGTGCAGTGCACAGGACACAACCCTGCTGAGCTGAAACCTGGTTATGTGTTTCCGACTTTAACACATGCTCTTTGCTGAAGGTGGCAAGACCCTTTTTCAAAGGTCTCATCTGGTAAGAAACACTGAATGATATTTAGCAAAAATAAGAAAGTGGGGTTTTATTTTTATAGTGGAAAGTGAGTTTCCAGATCTTCCAAGGTGGCTACCTTTCCTTTTTGGGGGGTTTGGAGGCAGAGGTGTGCAGAGGGGTAGCAGTATTACTACTACCCACATCCTCAGCCCTTTGTATTTATTTGGAGACAGGGCCTCACTAAGTGGCTGAGACTGGCCTTGAACTTGTGATCCTCCTGCTCAGCCTCTCGAGTTGCTGGGATTATAGGTGTGCACCACCACACCCGGCTGCCTCTCCTTTTCCTAATGATTCCAAACTAGCCTTTTAATAAGAGGCTATGACAAGAACGCAGGTCCCTCTGCCTCCTCACCTTGAAATATCCCACTGTACTTACCATGATGGTGTGCTCCGGAAACCTGGCCCGGACCAGTTTCACGAACTCCACAAAGTGTTCGGAATAGCCATTGGCCACATCCAGGCAGATGAACTTCACCTGCGGCACGGCTTCCAGGATGCTGCTCATCTTTTCCAGATCATTCTGTCCACTGCCCGAACTCACAGCCACGTGCTGTACCAAGATGAAGCAAGAACGTTGGTGTGAGCAGGAGCATTCCCGGCAGACCCCCCTGCCTCGTCCCAGGTGGCTTCTCTGGGGACAAAAAGGCATCCCTGGCAGGTTCCACCTGATCGACTCACAGCAGGTCTGCTCAGGAGACAGAGGAGAGCTGTGTCCCTAAACCAGCTCAGCTTCGATCATCATCTTTTCTACCTTGGCATTACACATATCCTCAAACCCGGGCCTCAGCCACTAAAACTTTTCAGTAAACAGATTCTTAAATATGCAGGAGATATTGTCCTTGGCTTTCATTGCATTTTCTCCAGATTCCTGTGTGGAACTATAAACAGTGGAGCCACCCGTACAAACGTATCATGGACAGAAACTCGACAGGTAAGAGGGAGGAACTTTCCAGCAAGAACAAAGTGGGGACACTCAACCTGGAAGAGGGACTTAGAGGTGCTGCCTCGGCTAACCGCAGTGACTTCACTTGGGCCTGCGGATGTCCTATGGGAAACGGAAACAGGACAAAGCTTGGCGACTCCGCCTCCATTTTGTGACCCGTCCTCTTTATTAGCTTCGACCCGCGGTCAGGCCCCTGCCCAGCTCTGCGCACAGCCATGTTAATCACTGCGGCAGGGCTCACTAAAAACCAGTACTAGGAGGTTTCCTAGCCTCACATTTACCCGGCCTATCTCATCCCCCTCCAAGACTGAGTTTCAGGGACATTTGACTGTCCGCTTCTACGCATCCAACTCCTGGTGTGGCACCTAGAACTTCTCATTGTCCTACAACTTCCAAGAGCTCACCCCATAGGACTGTTCCCCTGAAGGCAGGGACAGTCACCTCATGGGAACTAAACCGCCCCCTTCAGGATCACAGTGTGATGGACAAACACCCTGAATGACAAGTGGAAATTGCCCCTCAAGCCACAAGGCCTTCCTGGGAGCCACCTTGCAGAACAGAAGTACAGACTGATCAACCTGACACCTGGACGGAGACCACCCCCTGCGCAGACCTCACACCTCCCTAATGAAACCCGAAGCTGCAGGCAGCACTGACCCCAGGCTGAGATGCTGAGTCTCACTGTGCCTTCCCCAGGTGGCCTGGCTGATGGCAGTGCTTTGCCTGCTCTCCCTATTACTTTTCTGTTTTGCTTTTTGGGGGAAGTGACCATGCTCRGTTTGCTGGTACCTCTGAAGTCAAGCCTCTGGCCTAGGGCTCCAGTCTCTGAAAAATACAGGTAACAACTGTCTACAGAGCATGAACACTGTATCAGGCACGCCATCTAGAGATGGGTTAATGGTGCAGGCCGGTCTGCGGCCACAGCCCGAACACATCTGGTCTGATCTCAAGTGTGCACGAGGATGTGCCTAGTTTATATGCAAATTTATGGAAACACTTGTGCATTCAAGAAGTTTGGTATCTGCGGAGTGGTCCTAGAAGCAGTCCCCCACCCACAGCCAGGGACAATGGTCTAATTCATTTGAATACAATTCAGCAAAAAATGAAGGACTTGCTGTTGACCAAAATGATTTCCTCTCCAAAACCACCTTCTCAATAATGAAGCCCACTCCTAACTAAAGGAGGGTGGGAGCATCAGCACAAAGAGAGACCCCCCAACCACGCAGTTAATGTCCCAAATCCTCTTCGAATCACAAATGAGCTGACTGGGGAGGGAGAACTGTCACCCTGGGAGACCTCCCTGCTGAATCTGGGTCAAACCACCTGTAAGTTCAGGAAGGACAGTGCTACCCTAGGAATTTCTATTGCTGTTTTAAAATTGTCCTTTTTTTTTTTCCTGGACACTTTTCTGAGATGGGACATACCTGGAGTGCACAATTCCATGACTTTTGGCAAACTCAGAGTTGTGTGCTCACCACAACCAATTATTTTCTACTTTTTATTTTTTTAGTTATAGATGGACACAATTATTTTATTTATTTTTATGTGGTGCTGAGGATCGAACCCAGGGCGTCACACATGCCAGGCAAGTACTTACCACTGAGCTGCAACCMCAGCTTCATGGCAACCCATTTTAAAACATTTTCATGATTCCCAAAAAGAAACTCCCACACTTCTTAACTATCACCCCTCTTCTGCCTCCCGCTTCCTCTAATCCATTTTATGTTTACAGATTTGCCATTCTGGACAATTCATGCCAACAGAATCACTTTGCGTCTGGCTTTTTGACTTAGCAAAACATTCAGGCTTCATCCACGCGGCCACATGAACCAGCCCATTATTCCTTCCTGTGGCTGAATAATACCATCTGCTATCACGTGGCTACATCCTAATTTGTTTACCCCTCCAGCTACTGATGGATATTTGGGCTCTTTCTGCTTTGAGGCTACTAGAAATAATACTCCTATGAAAACACATTGACAAGTTTCTGTGTGTGTGTGTGTGTGTGTGTGTGTGTGTGTGTGTGTGTGTCTTCACATGTGCTAGAGCCACACCTAGAAACAGAACTGCCAGGTCCTGCAGCAACTCTTAGGTTTCACCTTTTGAGAATCTGCCAGACTGTTTTCCAAAGCATCTCACATTCCTGCCAGCGCCATACGAGGGTTCCAACTTTTCCCTGACCTCAGTGGCACTTCCTGTCTGATGACAGCTGTTCCAGCAGGCATACTGCTCACTGAACTCCAAAATGACTTGCTGCAATGGAGGGTTTTACATGGTCTGGGTCTACCCTGAAACACCTGGCCGGAAGCACAGGTCTCCCTGGGAGCTGATAGAAAACACTTCACCTCTCCAGGGAGAGCAGGTAAACCCTAGTATTGACATAAGGTGCCACAGAGCAGGTGGAATCAGCAAGCCCTTGGAGTGACACAGGGCCGGGGAACCACCACCCCTGTGCATCTGTCTGCTGATTCACAGGCTTCTGACAACTGTCTCTTCCCAGAGGTACCTGGAGACAAACCCTAGCAGAGTCTTACCTGAAGACATTCCGGGTGCTTTGAGGCAAAAACCTTCCACTCTTCCAGGGTGTAATGCTTATGAACCGCTGTAAACATGGAGTGCTAGGAAACAGATGGTGACAATGACATTAGGATGAGCAGCCACAGGAGCCCTCTCCCCTGGAGCAGCGCCTAGATGTCCCCAGCCATTTGCCGGCACCTTCCTGGAACAGCAGGCTCTGCAGGAAATCAGCCAGATGAGTCTCCCCCCACCCCCACCCCAAGCAGGAGCAGTGGTCTCATGAGAGCCAAGCTGCCTCCTTCCAGGACTGCGGGTCTGATGGATGAACATCCTGCGGAGTGGAGGCTGCCCCCCATCAAGCAATAAGGGCCTCCCAAACCAGAACCAAGAACGACCAACCAGACCGCAGGCTCTCCCAGACGGCCTCCTGCCCGGATCCCTTCCTCACTTAAACCTCAGGCCCTGTCCACACCCCTAGACAGGCTGACCTTGCACCTATTTTGCTTTCCCAATAAGGCCAGATAGATGAAAAGTTCCTTTCCTGCTTTTCACCATTACTTTTTATGTTTGTTTTTTGGGGTGAGTGGCCAGACCTGATTTTGGGGGGGGGTCCTCAGAGTAGGCCCTCCGACGTGGGACTCCAGTAACAATATGTGAAAGCTTTTTCTTGTGTTCACTCTTTGCTAACTGCTTCTTGTTACAAGCTAAACCCATCCGACAGTTGGCATGCTTAAGGAAGGGGATTGTACAAACTGTAACCCTAAATCTCTGCCTCTCGACCCAGCCTTTACTATCATCGTGCCAGTGCTTGGCAGGCCTTATTTCATTTCCTTCTCCGAATAAGTTTGAACAGTATTATGAGCTTCGTGATCTCATTCATAGGGAAACGTTCATGGTGAAAATGGGGAGGGCACAGCAAGTTCTAGGTTTTTAATGGACTAATAATAATTTGATACGTGAATTAACCAAGCAATTTATTATTCCCTGATTCTCTTCATTTTTCCACTGTTAGTTAGCTTTCTGTGGCTATGAGAAGACACTTGAGACAGTTAACTTATTAGGAGAAAATGTTTATTTGGGTTCACAGTGTTGGAGGTTCCAGTCCACGAACAATGGGCTCCACTGTTTGGAACTGTGGTGAGGCAGCACCTTATGGTAGGAGCAAAACCACTTACCTCATCACAAGCCAGAGAGCAAAAGGGAATGAGGAAGAGGCTGGATCCCACAATCCCCTTCTAAGGCAGGCCCCCAAGGACATACTGACCTCCACCTAAGGTCCTCCACCCCCTGTAAAGGCTCCAACATCATCTAGTAAAGCACGTCTTTGGGGGCCACTTATCCAAACCATAGCATACACTAATAGGTTGTTCATTAATAGCAGTGACTAATGACAGCAGAGAAGGTAAAGATGGAGAGAAAAAATGCCAYATCCGTGTAGCAATTAATTTATTAGCCTCTGGCCCAAAGCTCCCTGGGGACTGAGAACTGACAGAGGATACAACAGGTCATACGGTCAGATGGACGACCCCCTGCTCTGTTTTGTGAGCTCATAATTTGTTTGAGAATCCTTTCACTCTAATCACTGCCTAATCATGAGGCCCGGCGCCTCCTGCTGCTAGACTTGCTGCCCACCGTGAGAAGCTCTGTCCACTAATTGGATTTACCCTTGCACTTGGCAGGCATGATGGACAGAAACAGACACTCCACCCCATACACAAGGGCAAACGTCTCCCACCGAGGCCCTGAGAGGCTCTGCACGTCAGACACAGCCATGCAAGACCCAGTCTTGCCTACAAACGGCATTTCCTTTATTTTCCCAAAGCTCCCAATTCTCCGTATTGGCAATTAGATGAGTAGTCGGCCAAAAGGAGCCTTGAGATTCTCCTGAGAGCTGTCATTTGAGTGAAATCCCTTGGATTCTAGAGTCAGTTTGGATTAAGTCCTGCCTCTTTCTACCTGGCTAAAGGCCCTGAAGCAAGCTACCCCTCATCCCTCCCTCCCTCTGCCTAGGTTTTCTCATCCATAAACCTAAACTGTGGAGTTGTGAATTAAGAATAATTAAGACACATTATATCCAGTGGTGCTTAATCATTATGTAGCACAGACTGCAGACCACGTCCCCCAGTCCTAACTTTAAAAGCAATGTCCCTCTTCTATGACACTTATCATGTTCTAACTTATGTGTGAATCTCTAATTTCCAAGTCTATCCCAGGCATTCTCACAGAAGTGGATGTAGCAACAAATAGACTCCAAGCCCAAAGAATGCGAGTCCAGGGTGGGCTCCTGCCAACCTCACCATACTGTGAGCCGCAGAAGCMGGGGGACCTTCCATCTCACCTGTGACATCACGACTGCCATCTCAAATGTCCCCACGGTGTCCATGTTGGCCACAATGATGGGAATCCCTTTGTAGGTCTGCTTTGAGTTTCGAAATGTAAAGGTACGCTCAAGATCCACCTGTGGGCCAAGAGAGCGACGAGTGAGTGCTCTACAGGATAGGTGCAGCATTTCTGGGCTCAGAGAAAGTGAGAAGAACACAAAGGAAGCATCGGACCCTCAGCCCCTGGATTCTCTTGGGGCTCTGACTCCAGATGTTCTGGAGAAAGGAGAATCCCTGAAGAATCCAAGTAACATGTTGTATCCAACTGCAAAAGCTCAAACGGTGCCTGGTCACCCCCAAGCACCAGTACAAGGCACTGGGAATTCTTCCACGAAGCCGAAGCTCCAAATCAGAAGCTTTCGCTCCTCTATTAGCCTCTCCTCCCCGACAGCTGCCTCTATTCTCCACCTGGCTCACGCTGGCCCTAAGCATCCACATACGTGATACCCTTTCCCAACTTTCAAGCACGGGAGGGACCATTCCGCTTCTGAGAAAATCCATTCCGCTCTCCCMTGCCAATGATGACCTTCCTCCCTCCCTTGATAATCCCTGCAATGCTGACCTTTCACCTGGAACCACTACCCTGCAGTGAACTCCCAATCATCAATCCCTTAGCCTCTCAACCTCGGCAGCTGTTTTGTAATTAGGAGCATCTTTGAGTGAGCTGGAGGGACATTCACTGCCACCATATGTCCACGAATATAAACACTTGTTCCTTTGACTTGCAAACAGCTGGAGGGAGGCCTCCAAATCCACTGTCACTCTGACTTGTGGGCTTTTAGGACTATCAGCTGTCAGGAACCCAGGATAGCTGGCTAGCAGGGTGGGCTAGCAGCAGCAGTGTGCAAATCAAGGGACTCATACAAAGCTACTGGAGTCGATGACATCTGTGACCCAAAGCAGGTCCTGGCCTGCTCTTATCACAGAAAGGTCACACACTATGGGTTCCATTCTGAGTTTGTTTCTGACCAAGTTTGGCCAGTGGAGGACCCTGCAGAAAAACCAAAGGATAGTGGTTGGAGAAGGGGGACACCAGTGGTTCTTCCAGATCCCTTTTCAGCAACTTCTCCAGAATGGCTGTGCGTCCTTCGGGCCCGGGTGCTCCTGGTTCCAAGTTTCTCAGAGTGAGCCAATCTTTCCTGCCAACTCTCACCCTAGGGGAGGAGCAGCTTCTTACCCTCGCCATCTCTGGGGCCTGAATATCCCATGTGGCATCTCAGCTGTATTAGGAACCTGCACTAAATTCCCTGCTTGAAATAGCCCACATTTCTGGCTTCCATGGCTGGACCCTGAGAGATTCGGATCACAATGGAGGTGGGTGCTTGCCCGAGCAAACTGGCAGGAGAGACCCAAGTATGAATCTTATGCTTCTAAAATAATTCAGACCTATGTGACTCCAGCTTCCTGAGAACCCCACCAATAATCCTTTCCTACCAGTGTTTATCTAGAGCCTTTTATTCTTTTTCATCTGATTTAAGTTTCATTTCACGCAAGCAGCAAGCAGAATCAAGTCAGAAAACCCCGCGGGACATCTCAGACGCTTCCGCTTTTTCATTCCTCCTGCTTCTCCACCCAGGGCTCCGTGTCCAGAAGGCTTCCTGGGTGAATGATGTCATCAATATGATTACACTGGCTTTAAACTACAGTCAACAAGGGGAAATGAGACTCTGTAATTGCAGGAACATATGCGGCGTTGGGTCCCTTTATCTACTTCCTTCATGATGACTCTGGGATCTACACCGGTGAAGCAAGTTTTATTGACATCCTGCAAAATGACTGAGCGAGTCTATTAGCTGCAACCTTCTGTGCTGCTAATGGCCCTGTAACACTCTGGCTCAGGGGCTTAAAACAATCAGAATTCCTTGGCCTCAAATTCTTCTTCTACTCCTCCAAGAGGCATGGGGAGAGCTGTTATACTCTGCATCCGGCTGAGGCCACAATGGCTTTTTCTTGGCACACCAAGACCTGTCAGCGGTACAAAAACAAAACAAAATAACCAGCACCTCACAGAAAAGGTTCCCTGGCCTCGACAATGAATGTTTCCCTTCACTTCTAGTCTTCTCCGTAAGGCAGATGCTTGGGGCCAGGGGTGTGACTCGGTGGTCAGAAGTGCTTGGCATGCACAGACCCTGGGTTCGATCCCTAGAACCACCCCCTGAAGGCAGACTCTTTACAATATTTCATTCTGAAAATGAGTAATGAAATTATCTTTCCCCAGCCTTATTCACCCAGACACACACACACCCAAAACAGACCAGTTGTTCGCTAAGAGATAAATACTTTAGATATTCCAGCCTCCCAGGAACAAAACTTGGCGTTTAATCTGCCACAGCTGGCCCATGTACCAAATATAGCACCTGTAAATTCCCTCTCTGTAAACCCCATCTGAAAGGGAACAGAAAATAACGGATTCCCCCGCTTCACCTGAGAAACACGTTTCTACTGCTCTTCTAAACACAACTTTATTGAGTTGGTTTTGGGGGCTCAAAAGTTCAAATAGAGAGCCACAAATCACATTCCAAATAATCCAATGTCATGGGTCAAGCTAACAATTTGCTGCATACAATATGCTCAATCCTCTTACCCTGACACAATCAGTGACATCTATGGGCCAGGAAGGTCACAGTAGAGTGGGCATCCAGCCCACAACCCTGTCCCTTCTCAAGTCCTTATGTGCACGTGTAGACACCTCTGCAGGTGAAGTTTTGTGCACATGCACACATTGTCACTCAGCCACTCTGGGTGGGAGGGACACACCCCTGCAGCGGTTGGTCCGGTTGGTCCTTGGGAAAGCACACCTGGGAGGGGGTGGCCCATGCAGGCCTTGGGACGAGCTCATATCATCTGGGGAGGGATACCCAGGAGTCTCAGAACTTGGAGCCCAGCCCTAGAAGGAACCACAGAGCCCACAGGCCCTGCCCAGTGAGGAGAGTCATCAGAGGACAAGTAGGGGCCAGGGCAGGAGACACTATTCCGAAATCTAGGGATGATAGTGAGATAAGCTGTTCTTTCATTATCTAGACTGTTCATTATCTGTCTCACCTGAGCACAGGGGGCTTKCCTTTCATCTTTGTAGGCCTAGTGACCTGACAGACATGAAATAATGAATGTTTCCCCTCACTTCCAGTCTTCTAGAATAGGGTACAGTTCAGAGCTAAGAGTGATCGTGTGGTTCGGCCCCAGCCTTTTGCAAGACAGTACTTGGTGATCCCAGCCCAGTCCTCTGGATGTGAGCCCTCAAGGCCTCAGAGACCCTCCCACGGCTGCCACATCACCAGCCTGCACAGGTTCCACAAATAGAAAGGGTATCAGCAGCAACCATGTGCACAGCAGAATCCTTTTAGGATGATTTCTGAGAACATGTCCAGGCCGCCCTCAACGTCATAAATCAACACCTTTGTGTTGGAGACAGTGTGTGTATGTTGGAGTGTCTCCCTAGGTGATCCGGAGGCTTTTGTGACTCACAGCAAGTCGTGGAGCCTTCTAACTCTATGGAGGATGCTGCAGGCTGAATTGTGTCTCCCCAAAAAGAGGCGGATGTCCTAACCTCCAGGACCTGTATCTGTGACCTGACTCAGAGACAGGGTCTTCACAACTGGCCAAGGCAGAATGAGGTAACTTAGCGAGGTCCCTAGTCTAGTCTGACTGATGTTCTTACAAACAGGGAAATTTGGACCTGGGCACCTGACACTTATTGTAGAGATGAGGTGAGGGCAGAGGTTGGCATGATGTATCTGCATGCCAAGGAATGCCCAAAGCTGCCAGTCAAACACACAAGAAGGTGAGGGGAGGACGGAACTCACTCTCCCTCCGAGCCCTGGATCGCCTTGGTCTGGGACCTCTAGCCTCCCGAACCAGGAGACAATAAATTTTTGTTTATTTAGTCACCCAGTTTGTGGTATTTGGGTGCAAAAGCCCCCAGGAAACCAATRCCAAGGTAACAGGGACAGAGCTTAGACCCAAACCCTCTCCCAACCCAGTGCCTCTCACTGCCCTGGGCCAACCCGTGACAGAAGGTAAGAGCTTCTCACTGGACTGCTGGTGACACTGAGTTTTAAGCAGAAGGAATGCCAGTGGCATCTTCTCCACCTGAGGGTAGAGGGGTGATTTTCTGTACAAACTCTCTTCAAYGCCACACTTTCAAAGTTAGGGTTGCATTGGATTGTTTAATTTTTTTCTTACTGAACTCAAAGACCAGGGTTGATGTCGAAGCCAGGAATGGGTCCCAAGGAAGAAAATACTCTGGAGTCACAGGATGTGAACTCCCCAGTGTACCAGGAAAAGCAAAGACTTGACTTAACAAAGTCATCCCCTTTGAAAAGATTATCCAAAATGTCCCCACATTTTTGTGGGGATAATCTTTGAAAAGATTATCCAAAATGTCCTTCCTCTGAACCAAAGCTGGATGGTCGACAGATGACTGTCTAGCTGCAGCACCTACATGAAGGCCACCTGTGTCACCTCTACCTGTCCTGTTGCTTCTGAGAGCTGACCCCAAATCATCGTGAGCCTTGGACAGGAGTACTGAACTTCTAAGCGGGAGATCACGTTCCCTCTCTGTTTCCTGCTCATTCCCTGATGATCCATTTGGGACCTCATTCTTAGCAAAACTGCCCCAGTGATCAAACTGGGTGACTGCCAAAATACTCTTTTCCCAGCCAGATACTGTTTCCAGGTAGGTTTTCTCTCTGGGATCCCCTCAAACCTGCTCTCTGCTCAAAATCCTTCATCTGCTATTTAGTTTCGAATTTGTATACAGTATTACTTCCACCAGGGTGCACACATTGTCAGCTTCTGATTGTGCAATTAAAGTTTGTATCTGGCACATGAAACTTCAGGCATCAACCAGCAAATTGAGAATCACTAAGAGGGAATTAGAAAGGCCTAATTAAATCCCTCAACACCACTCAGGCAAGTAAAGTCAGACCATGGGGAATGGCCAGCCACGCAGCAAACTCCTGCCCCAGGAAGCTAAACCATTAGAAGAACCAAGCAGAAAGGCAACACCAGTTAACTGCAGCTTCCGGGCAGGTAGCTGGCAAATTCCTACAAAGTTGGAGAGGTGGAAAACAGTCCTGAAGGGCACCGACCTCTCACTGTAGGTGCCACTGTATATTAATAGCAGCAATCAGTCCAAATTACAAAACCAAGGGTGGCATGCCATATTGTATTGTTCCCTGGAAGAATTCATTCCGTTATGTAAATTTGGAAATGTTTTACCTTCTTAAAAATATTTTTCTGGTTAGAGAACACATAGATCCTTGTTTTGAAGGTATTTTTTCTTAGAAATAATTTCTCTTCTAAATTGATTTGGAATACTTAAAGAATACTGCAGGTTGCTAAATCATTACTCCGCCCAGAATGCCCACTTTTATCTTGTCTGGCCTCAGGTACTGCCTACAGCTCCTACTTCCAGAGGCCCAGGGCTGTTTTCCAAACTTTATTTTTGCTCCAAGAGTTTGCCCAGTTCTTTCGTGCCTTTGAAAAGAACAAGATGAAGGACAGGCACAGGGGCATCTAATCTGGGGTGATAAGGGTCCGTCAGTCCTCCCCCACCGCTTCCTGTCCTGTCCTGGCTCCAGCCAGCCAATGCTGCCACTTGGGGAAAGTGACTTGGTGAACTGTGAGAGGCTGTCCAGATCCCAACAAGCCCTCAGCTGGCAGCACCCGACACTGCAGTCAGGCCTGGGCACTGGAGTGGAGTTCTTCTTCTCCGAGGGGATTTATTTATGGTCTTGTTTGCGGAGCTGGTGAAACGAAGCTGGGCACGCTGGCTCAGCGTCCTCCACTTTACCCTTTCGGACCCAGCCTTCCAGACCCTGTGGTTTCCAGTTTCTCAGCTCCCAGAAGACAGGCAAAGTCAAGGTCCCTGGCCCATAACTACTCCTGTGGACTCTGCCTTCCCCTCAAACTACTTTGTCCTTCAGGGTCTGACCTCCCTTTTCCCCAGTCCCTGGTTATGTCCCGACCTGACTCCACCTGCTCCTGGAAGCTTTGATCTCATTAAGGCAAAACAAGCAACCGGCTCCAGGCTTCCAGTTCGCCCTACCACCCTCAACCCAGCGCTTTCTGCTTCTCGCTGGGGCTGGGCTAGGACTACGGCGCAGCGCCACCAAGAACCGGTCCCCAAACTCCGCTCCCGGCAAGGCCACCTTAACTCGGAAAGTCAACMGTGAACTTGCTTCCGGGGGCTCCCGGTTTTCAGTTCTGTTAAAGTCCACCCAGCAGCAGCAGCAGTTCTCGGCACGCGGAGACGCTGCCAAAAATCGCAAGGATCTGCAGTTGTTTTGCTCTGGCTTTCCACCCGGCTCCACCGTTTCCTTTTCCCCGGGAGTGCGCCTCCCTACCCCCATTCTAGGTCTACTGGCCACTTGATCTTTGCTCCTCTGTGGTCCAGTTTCAGTGTAAACTTCCCCTTGCCCATCCAACCGGACTGATTTAGAATTTTAGGCCCGAACCGGGCCCCATTCTCCCTGTCCTTACAGACAGCTCAAGTCCTGGCAGGGCGCCGACTGGCCCTCCTCTTTCCCGGGGGAAAGGTGGGCAGCACCCAGCCTCCGACACAGAAAAGCAGGATGACCCATTGCCACCCTTCCACTACCTCCCCTGCGGCACCCAGAAAACAAATTCTCAGCCCCGGGTCAGGTTTCAAAGGGACCCCACCTCGGATCGGCTCTTGAGGCTGCTCCGCTTAGGTCGGAGCAGGACATCCTTGAAGTCGAGCTTGAGGTCCGCATCTATGCGAGGCATGGTGCCGGCGCGGCAAGGCGGCCGGCTCCTTCCTGCGGCGGAGGTGGCGACAGTGCCACGGCCTGCGAGGGGCAAGGGTGGTGCGGGGCGCGTGCGTGGCACGGTCGCCGGGGCTGCTGTGCCGCGGCCCGGGCTCCCGCGGGCCCGCGCGCAAGCCGGCTCTTCAGCGCGCCCGCCCCGCGCCCCCGGCCGCGCTGGTTCGCCCCGCCCCGCGCCCGGTGGCCACGCCCCCGCGCTCCTTGGCCGCGCCCCGAGAGCCAGGAGCCGGGTGGAGAGGCCAGGGGGCCGCGGACGTCTCCCACTTCCCAGGGCGTACAGTCCTGCTCATTGCTACCACGAAATTGTGCACCTGTGCACCATCTAGGCTATTACCGAGGATCCCCTTGGAGAGGAGACCTGGCGCATTACCGCCTTATTCAAGGGTAAAGGCCAATCCTTGAGAGGTTTGACTTCTCATTTCTCCAATTTCAAGTCCAGCGTGCGCCAAGTGCTGGCCTCTCACATGCCAAAGAGGGGGAGACCCTTGGGAGCGTGGACGGAAATACAGGAAACCAGGCCGGGCCCGTGCGAGCCTAAAGTCCAGGGTTCCATCACTGTGGAGTGGGGTCAGATATCAGTTTAACAGCGCTGGGTGGTTTGGGCCATTTTTGGATACCTTTTAGATTTCAGGGGGCTTTTGCTGATTTTTATTTAAAACAACAACAGCGGGGTCTATAGTCAGCGCAGATCCTGGGATTTGAGGGACCTGAATCCTCTCCAGGGTTACCAGTGACTCGAGTTCAATTTTAGTCACTTGTGGAGCTTACTGAACCTCTGCTGTAGCTTGGAATGCGCTTAAGTACTTTGCCTGCACCTGCTCATCCACCCTCAAAACAGCCCATCCACCGGAGCTATTTTGCAGATAAGGAAAAAGTGAAGTTCATGMAAATGAAATACCTTGTCCAAAGCCCCAGAAAAGTTAAATCTAAGTCTCTCTGTCCTGGAAACTTACATCAACCTTTTGCCACAACTGCTTTTTAACCCTGGGGACCTCTTTTCTGTGTGGATGGAAAACCCGGTTCCACCACTTTCTAGCTGGGTAACCTTGAGGGAGTTAATTTCTCTGACTCATTGTCTCATAGGTTAAAGAAAAACTTAAAGCTACCCTCTCCCAGGTTTTTTGTGAGAATTAAATTGTGTGTGTGTGTGTGTGTGTGTGTGTGTGTGTGTGCAGAATGTATGTTCCATTGTAGTTGTTCAATAATAATGGTAATTATTTGGGGTCACATGTTACTCATGTGCATTGTGTTTTATAATCTCAGACTACATTGCTAACTGCACAAAGCCAGGAATCACTTTCATTTTCTTTCACTTCTCAAAAGGCTCTAACTGTTCTCAATGAACCCTGTGGCTGACCATAAAGACATAGCACAATGTTCATTTTAACACAAACGACTGCCAGTGACAAAAGTCTTCAGCCATTCTGCTGGGTGACATGATTATCTTTGCCTCACAGGAATTTTGAAAAGTTTCATGGAAGGAAGTGAAAGTTATCAGAGAGCGGRAAGATAACCACAATTAGTCCAGCCAACAAATTATTTATGACCCACCCTTATCACATTGTTGAAAGCTGGCCAGATGTGACACTTACAAATAGTGGGGATCTCAGTTCTTTAATTAAAGACTAAATAAAAGTCAAATATTACCATGTCATATAGTAATATAATTACTATATGACATGGTAATTATTCTTCAAAAAGGGAAGAGAAACCAAGCTTATTAAGCATCAGCTTAGAGTGGAGAAGTGCAGAGGTGGTGGAGGGCTTTATACTCAAGGGCACACACACACTGCCTTATGGGAAGAGCCTCCTTAGCTAGCCCGGACCTCATCTCCAGGTAGTATCTCTTCTCTTGGTTTACTGCCCACCCCTCCTCTATTGGAAGAGACAGAAGTTCAGTTTACACATTCCATTCCCCCTCCTATTGAAATATTCCATCATAACTATATCTTCAGACACAAAGTCATGTTCCTTGGTGAATCACTAGGAGCCCCTGATTCTCTCACACCAACAGAGACTCTACTATCCTGGGATCTGTGCCCCAAAGGCCCATGTGTTGAAGGCTTGGCACTGATAGGAGCAGGTGGAGCCTTAAGGAGGAGGAGCCTAGTCGCAGGAAGTTGTACCATAGGGAGCATGTCCTTGGAGGTCCCACCCCTTCCTCCTTGTTTCCTAACTACCCTGAGGTGGGCATCTACTTCTGCCAGGTGCTCCCCACCATGATGTACCACCTCCACCAGAAGCCCAAAGGCAATGGGGCCAAACAACCATCGACTGAAACCTCTGAGTCTGTGAACTAAAACAAACCTTTCCTCCTTATACATTGATTACCCCAGGTATTTTGTTACAGCGATGGGAAGCTGACTAACAGAATCCTTTAGGCAGCCTTTACACTGTGTACAGATTTCAGCTCCTCATCTCACAAATAATAACAGTGATAATTTCTATCGAAACAATGATTTTACGAAGAAATTTTGACTAGACGAAGCCATAAGATATATCCAGAATCCAACCTGAGAACATTATCTTAACTAAGGGTAGGGTGATTCCAAAAATTACATGAGAAGATAACCTCTAAAATGATGTGGGATAAATTCCACATGGTGACTGTTCTTTTATATATCCATGGATTCAGTTTGCTAATATTTTGTTAAGGATCTTTACATCTAAACACATGGGGTACATGAGTCTGTAGTTTTTATGTCTTTAGCAGGATTATGATGGCCTCATAAAATGAATTTGGAGTGGGGCGTGGTGGGGCACACCTGTAACACCAGCCACTCAGGGGCTGAGGCATGAGGGTCACAAGATTGAGGCCAGCCTGAGCAACWTGGCAAGGCCCAAAAGACTTAGTGAGATCGTGTCTCAAATAAAACGTAAAAAGGGGTGGGGGAAGGGGAAGTGAGAAATGAAAGATGGAGACCAGGCAGAGATACCCACGGGAGTTTATTTTTCAGAGCTGACAAATAAAGGCCGTCTCTCTAGAGGAGAGAGAGGCAACACAGGCCTGAGTTCTGGGACTTTTATGGGGCAGCTCAGGAATCAGAGCCTGGCAGGTCCTAATGTGGGCGGTGAGGGGTGGGGTTGGTAGGAGGGAGTGGTGAGCCTTTCTCAGAAAGGCCTTTGGGTGGGAAAGTGAAACTTTTTCCTTAAAATGGCAGCTGTCACTTAAGATGGCCATCCAGATGCTAAGCCCCAACTTACGGTAGGGGATGTGACTCAGTGGCTAAGAGCACCTATGTTCCAACCCTTGTACTAAAAAATATAAGAATTGGGAATTGTTTTTTGATTTATTTTCTCAAAGAGCTTGTAAAGGATTGGGATTCRTTCTTTAAGTATTTCATAGGATTAATCAGTGATCTATAACGATGAAGGATAAGAAAATTGTTTTTTTGATAGACAAATGTCTCAAAACCCTAAAATAATTAAAATTGAATAGCAATTAAAATCCTTAAAATAATTCAAAGTCACAGTATTTAGTATAATGGGAACAAGAAAGATTTTGCTCATATTTAATGTTTTGTGGTGTTTTGCATTCTTGAGAAAATTTGTCCCATTAGATTAAGAAAACAATCTTCTAATACCTATTCAAAATGAGCTTTTGGGTACACCTGTAATCCTATTAACAGGGGTTCACTTGATGCTTTGACTATATTCCTTGTGGCTTTGAAACTTACATATTTTTTTCTTTTTCCCACTCTTCTTTTCCCTAAATTTCTCCCTGATCTTCTTTCCCTCCCTGATCTTTTCCTTGATCTTCTCCTTCCTGATCTCTYCTCCCTAACCTCATTTCTCTGAATCACCTCTATAAAACCCCCCTGTTCCTGCTGATGGACAGAATCACAGCCTTTGGGACAGGGGTCCCCTGGGTTTCTCCTTTGCTAACAAAGCAATAAACCTTTTTCTCAAGACTTTGTCTTTGTTATTGGATTGATCTCAAGGACGAAGCTTTGGATTATAATCCCAGCAGCTCTAGAAGCTGAGGCAGGAGGATCACAAGTTGAAGGTCAACCTCAGCCATTTAGCCTGGCCCTGTCTCAAAATAATTTAAAAAAAAAAAAAAAGGTCAGGGGATATGGCTCAGTGATGAAGCATCCCTGGGTTCAATCTCCAGTGATAAAAAATGTTTGAGTAAGTGAGTTGAACATGAGGATAAGGTGAAATGTATTCAGGAACATTTTAAGAGAACATAAATTTCACTTAAAGTATTTATAAAAGCAAATAAATTATGCTGGAAAGTTCCCCTAGCTGGTGAGTCTGCTGTTTTGTCATGCATGATGATTGCTGGGAATCTGATGAAAATGCAAATGCTCCTTCAGAGGTTCTGGGTGGGGCCCAAGGCTTTTCATTTCTGACAAGTGTCTGGACRAAGCTGGTTCTGGGGACTGGCACTGAGTAACAGGGAGTTAGACTATTAGCATATTTCAAAAGGAAATCTTGTTCCTTGTATTTTTTTTTAATGCAGCTTAAAATACTTGAAAGTATTTAAGTTTGTAAATGTGACCTTGTGTTATCCAAAAGCCTTTTCAAGGCKTTTGCTACAATTTACTAAATAGAATTTTTAAGTAAAGAAAATGTCTAAGTGAATAGACAAGTTTTTTTTAAAAAAAAAAAAACTTTTTAATTTGTTATATATGACAGCAGAATGCATTACAATCCATATTCACAKGTAGAGCACAATTTTTCATGTCTCTGGTTGTACACAAAGTAGAGTCACACCATTSGTGTCTTCCTACATGTACTCAGGGTAATGATGTCCATCTCATTCCACCGTCTTTCCTACCCCCTGCCCCCTCCCATCTCCTCCCTCCCCTTTGCCCTAACTAGAGCTCATCTAATCCTCCCATGCCCCCCCCCCCACTACCACATTACGAATCAGCATCCTTAAATCAGAGAAAACATTTGTCATTTGCCTTTTTTGGGGTGACTGGCTTACTTCACTTAGCATTATATTCTCCAACTCCATTCCTTTACCGGCAAATGCCATGATTTTATTCTCTGTTAATACTGAATAATATTCCATTGTATCTATATACCACAGTTTCTTTATGTACTGAAGAGCATCTAAGTTGGTTCCACTATAAGGTCCTTGCTTAGCATCTGGATGGCCATTTTAAGTGACAGCCACCATTT